TGCTGTCCAAATGTTGCTCTGCGGTATTTTTTAGTGCCAACCTTGCTTTCCAATATACTTCAGACACAATAGTCCAACGGACTGGTATCCGGAGATTTTGGTGGCCATTATGCGCTGGAAATGAAGCAAGGAACCTCATTTTGTAACCATTCTTGGGTGGCGTGTGCTGAGTGCGATGGTGTTGAGTCCTGTTGGAATGTCCAAGGTCTGCGGCCAAGATGTTTGTGTGCCCAAGGATTTAATACACCCTCCGGAATATTTACGCGATAATATTCGACATTTATTTTGATGCCACGGTCGATTAATACGAGCGGAGAGCGACCATCGGCTGTTATGACGGCCCACATCATCACCATGGCGGCACTTGAGTTCTGGTGGCCAACCGAAGGTGCACATTTTGAGCACTTGCCAGACTTCTTTGGCAAGTAAACACGATCATTTTGTTTGTTTACAAGCTGCTGGACAGCGAATGTTTTCTCATCGAAGAAAACTAAATCCGGCAGTTCACCACTTTCGGCCAAGCGAAGCAACTCTTTAGCTCTCTTGAGTCTATTTTTATTCCGGTGTAAGTATTTGCACTTTTTGGAATTTCAATGGCAAGCTCATTTTTTAATATTTGCCGAATGGAACATTGCGATATGTTCAGCTCACGACCTATTTTTCGGCCACCGCGACACGGGTTTCGATCAAGTCGCTTCTTTACTTTTCAAACCATTTCTGCATATGTTGCTGTTTTCTTCCGTCCACTTCCTTGACATCGGGCTATGCTACCAGTATCACGGTAACGAGCGATGGTACGAGTCACAAAAGATTAATTCACATTTTAATGCTGGAGTGCTCTAACGATAGTCACTTGTGGTTTTCCAGCCAAATATAAAGAAATCACACTATCACGTTTGAATTCCATCACGAATAATTTTTTTTTCTGAAAAATTCTCACCAATGTGCTTTTGTACGCTTGTAATCAATATAATCAGCTGTCACTGGAAAAATTTGAACAGGTGTCGGACGAGTGTCTTAGTAATGACATCAGTCTGAAGTTGGTTGTATATTGTTCATTCGATTTGTTATTTTTGTTCTCCTCAGACGCAATATGCACTCCGTAACAACGATATCCGGGGAAATGTGTCTAATACAGCTCAGAAATACCTGTGCTAAATTTTATCGAGATCGGTTCAGATTTGGATATAGCTCCCATATATATCTACTTTAAAGCCATAATACACATCCAAAAACGATCATAAATCCCCCATAAAAATGTTTAATTTTCTATTAAATATGCAGATTTGTGTAGGGTATCATAAAGTCGACCCGCCCGACTTTGGGCCTTTCTTTATTGGTTACTTGTTCCTACTGGGTTGTGCATGCCAATTACTACAACGACATTTATGTTTCTCTTTTTCTTCTATCCCTTTGGGTGATTATTTTAAAGTTTTTAATTTTTGTGAAACACTTTTAAGGGATGTACGAATACAATTTTTCGTGACTGTACATAACACACAATTTGTTTAGGAGCGTGTACTTGAAGTATTTTCTGGAAGCCGGCATGAGATGGCAAAACCTAAAAAAAGTAGTCAAATAAAAAATGCCAATTCATTCCCTCTAAAAAAAATGCCGGCTTCTCATTCTAAACAGGAATACAAACATACATTTGTTGTTGTTTTCATTGGCCGAACTCTCCCTAAAAATAATCTCAACAAAATATACGAAAGTGCAAAGATCGTTGTCGTCGTCGTCGCTGCCGCTCACAAATCGCAATTTATTAACAGCCCAAACAAAAGCTTTTCAGATCACGGAGAGCGGATAGAGAATGAGCGAGACAAACTAAACGACATTAGTTGTGTTTTAATTCAAAATTGTCATATTGTGCTCTCTCCATTGTGTCTTATGCATTTCAAAACTGCATAATTCGTTGATATTAATTAAATCCCAAATCGAATATACATTGTTACGTATATATGTACATATTATACCGACACAAAAATGTCTATGATATTATTGATAACATATACCTTATATGACATTGAACAAGGTTGAATTAAGTTCAAAGATCTATTACCTTATTAAAGAATGAATATTAAAGAACATGTGCTGCAGTTTTCATTATATTATGCCAAGATAGTATAAAATTGAATGGTTTAACGAACAAAGGCTATCGGAAGATATCTAAGACGATTTAAACTCTGTATTTGTCTGTTCTTCCACAAAAGTATCATTTTGAAAAAATGTTCAACTATCTCTAATGTAAGACTCTCCCTCTATATCATGAACATCTTAGATGGAAGAATATCTAGAGGTGGAAATCCTCGCCCAGCACATTAGCATAAGTATATACTCAAAAAGTATTAAAACATATTATGCATTTTAGACATTAGTGCCAAGACGAAGAACAATTTTGAAATTCAACTTAGTCTTTAAATACTTTCCTCACTTTATATTTAATTGGTCTTTCCCGCTTAGAGGAATCAACACGTTTTACCGAATTCCCAATAAATTATTAATTAATTGCATGCGTGATTAATGTGAAACCTTTTGTGATTCTTAGTCATACCAACAGTAAGACGACTGCAATAACAATATTATGTGCAAGATATCACATAGAGCTTGGAAATAATTCTTTCAAATTTAAACGAAATTGATTCACATTGAACCATGCTATGTTTATTCAACAAGGATAGATTTGGGATGATGCAATTATGTTCGTTCTGAAATAAAACTAGATAAGTTCCGAGAATGTTGGTTTAGAAAAGGTTAAAAGTCAGACTAGACTAACACACATGTATAAGTGATGAAGAGGACGTATGAGACATTTGCATAAACCGACAAATTTTAAAAAAATCTGTTGAATAATGGCGCTAAAATTATAATAATACCGTATATCGGGTAGTACAGTTATATGGGAACTATGCGAAAAAGTTGACCTATATGGCCATTTATCCGTTAGACAAGGCGTAACCTATTGCAAACTTCAAATAATTGCGTGGAAAAATTTGGCTTAAGTCCCCACTATATGGTCTTAGTCCAATTCCTACGCTTCATATAAGAAAATCGCATTGTTCGTCAACTTCAACTTTTTAATGGACCCTTTACAAAATTTTAGTACTTTTCGTACACTTTATAGCTTTAAATTCCATTTAATATTTTTCGGCACTATAAATCCACCTCCTTATCTATAAACTAGACACTCACAGTGATTATAATACCAAAAGGCACAATTCCAGCTCTTTTCCCACACTATATACCAAAGTTAGCACCATTTAGTACTTTTGGTACACCTCCTTACACTAAAATCGAGTAACATTTTGTACAAAATTTAGTACCAGTTTGCAGGTTCTGGAACAGAGCATTTGTGTTTTCTATTTCCAGTAGTGCACCCGCTAGACTTGGTACGTGTTTCACTCTTTACTCGAATTCGAGTGAGTTGTTTGGACATCTGTTTTCGATCCTTAATAGCTGATTCGCTGACCGACAGATTCATAAACACCAAGACGAGCGGGCAATATTCTATTTTTTAGTTTCGCTGCTTTTCTCGAACCCCTCGTCCCAAACAATTATATGTGTTCTTGATCAACGTAAAATTCTAAGTCTATTTTGCGATGTCCATCGTTCTGTCTTTGTGTATGTCTGTTGTAATCACATTGTCTTTCGAATCGAGATAGAAATTTTGCACACATGTGTATTTTGCCAGTAGGCAGGTTAAGTTCGTAAATGGGTCATGCTGGTCCACGTTTTCGTGTAGCCCCCATACAACGGTAGTGACTAAAGGCCGAAATTGTTTCAAATTTCGTATTGGAAGATTTTATCAATCTATTGGATCGTATATCCCCATAAAACGATACCTCTCGATATTCTGTATTTTGATGATTTTAGCGACTTTATTCACCGGAATTGCTTCAAATTTGGTATTTGAAGTTCAGAATCCGTACTACAACCGATGAAAAAAAATACTTATGCAGGTCCTCGTCTTCATATAGCCCACATATAACGGTTATATTTCGTCGAAATGTCTTTTTTTAATTTTTTATCTTACTTCCAAATGACGGAGAGTATTAAAAGTTCGGGCCGACCGAAATTAGGTGCTTTTTTCTCGTTATAATTTAACACGATCGATCACCCCCTCATTCTCAGTACACAGCAACACCAAAACCTATTTGCTGTTACACAAACACGCACACACAAATCAACAAAAAATATTTTTCACACCCGATTTCACTATTAGAGAAAATTCTCACTCTATTTCGAGCAAATTGCCCCCACCATAATTTTCCAAACACGAGTGACCCAATATAAAACTTGCACATTTCCAGCAATCTCCCTCACGAGTAAGTTTTTCTCCCTAGCGAAAGCGAACATATCTGTGATCTGATAACAGTACGTACCTTCAAAAGACCACATATATTTAAAAAGGTACCTTATACCAGTCCTATTCAAACCAGACATGCGCTCACAAATAAGATCACTTAAGAGAAAACAAAAATTATGTTTTTGTTTTCATTTGGCGTTTAATATCAATTGTTGTTAAACATAAATGTTGTTCAAAATGATAAATAAGCAACATATTAATACTAATAAATATGTAAATGATAAATGTTGTTGAGCAGCATTGATTATATCAACTGAAGTAGATGTTTTTTGCGAAATAAATTTCATTTTTTAATATTGCACAACACTACTATTTTTCAGTTTCAGTTTCCATTGATTTAAGAAGTTAAATTCAAATAAATTCCGTTCGTTTTGCTAGAAATGCCAATAGCCCGGCACATTTTCATAAAACACGGCTATTGTATATGAACGATATTAATATATTAACACTCTCTTCTTCTCTTATCTAAATTTTGGGATCGTTCATGCGATTCGCATGATGCGAATAAAAAATTGAAAAGCATATGCCGACTCATGTATGTACGTATGTTTGGAGGTGTGTGCGTTTGGAAATGTATGAAGTGATGTGCTTTTTCAAAAGTTTTTTTTATTAATTTAACAAGAAACAAATGCTTGAAGTCGCTGTTTCAGTTGTTTTTACCTACTCGAAGCGTTAGGTACATACTAATCGTCTCCGTGCGTTTCGGTGTTCCCCCCATCGTCGTCGTATTCGGTAGAAAACGGTCGCAAAAAGACAAACAAACAAAAAACCACAAAAAGCAAGGAGAACGTCATTCCTGCCAAATATCTAGACATGGGTGTAATGGTCAGAGTATTAATTGCAGGCCTTTGCTTGGGTCTGGCCGCCTTGTATCAGAATTACCGTCTACTAAAACAACCCATTCCTGCACCAAAATTAGACGAGAAACAATACTGGGGGCCAGGTAGTGGAGCTGATTATAAGGAAGATGTTTCCATTAAACCATTCGATATTGCCGCTAAGCCGGAGGTGAGTTTGAGGGTGATATTAGCTGTTTTAGAAGGACTACTGTTTTGGGAAAAATAGTATGACGGAAAAATAAATTTTGTTCGGATCTTTCTTTGAAAAATAAACTTACAAATACACAAATAATTGCAACGCACAGGTAGTTGATCTAGTAATTGCTGATACTTATATGAGGCAGTGTATGTACAGATATAGACCTTTGGACCCTGTGTATCACTAAAAATACCAGGGTCCAGTTTTACTGAGATTACAGTACTCTTATGTTTTTGTTTCAAGCGATACAAATTTAAATTAGAATTCGTATTAACATTCGTGAGGGCAATGAAAAAAAATTATCCTCCCGAATGTTTTGAAAGTTGACGCTGGTCTTGTAGTAAATACGATCAAACTTTAAATAGATAGGGAAAGTGTACCAGTAGTCAGAACATTTGGGATTTGCTCGCGTTTTAAATGGTCGTAATTGTGAACATCATTCATTTTGCCAATTAAATTATTCCTAAGTATTTAACTTTAAAAATTATTTAATTTTTTGATTAGTAGTTATGTCCACGTTTTCCACCTACAAATCGACTTTAGGCTACGCCTTAATGTTTTGTGTTCCACTGGTCGGCATCAGAAATAATTGCATAGTTATAACAATTTTACAAAAATATCCTCGTCTAAATAGTTCTTTTGGCAGTTCGTTAAAAAAGACTCTGTGTACAGTTTTTTGTACCCTCCACCATTCTATGGATGGTATATTAACTTTGCCATTCCGTTTGTAACTCCTCGAAATATTCATAATAGACCCTACAAATTATATATATTCTGGATCAGCATAAAATTCTAACAATTCTAGCAATGTCCGTCTTTCGGACGAATTGAGATACAAGGCTAAAATTCTGCATACATGCATAGTTTATCAGTAGGCAGGTTAAGTTCGTAAATGTGCCATGTCGGTCCAAGTTTTCGTATAGCCCCCATATAACGGTACCTCCCGATATTCGGTATTTTGACGATTTTAGCGACATTTTTCACCAGAGTTGTTTCAATAACGGTACCTCCCGATAGTCGGTATTTTGAGGATTTCAGCAACATCATTCACCGGAATCGTTCCAAATTTCGTACTGGCAGTTCCTAATGGAAACTACAGCCTATGACAACAATTTTTGTATGCAGGTTCAAGTCTTCGTATAGCCCCCATATAACGATACTTCCCGATATTCGATATTTTGATGATTTCAGCAACATTATTCACCCGAATTGTTTCAAATTTCCTACTGGAAGATCGTAATGGGTACTACGACGTCTTCGGTACCCGATTTTTGCGACATTATTCACCGTAATTGAAACAGATTTCGTATTTGAAGTTCGTAATGGGCACTACAGCCTATGACATTCCATTTCGTATACATGTCCACGTCTTCGTAGAGTCCCCATAAAACGGTTTTTATTTAAGTGGTAGTTTTCGGAATTTTTTTTTTTTAACTTTTCAATTTTCTTCGACATTGTGGAGGGTATTAAAAGTTCGGCCCGGACGAACTTACCTTCTTTTTTAATTGTTAATTTTAACATAGCTATTTTTTGACTGTCCATAAAAAATAGAACCAATAAGTTTATAGCAGAATGAATGTTGCAAAATCGCATACGCCATTGTCAGAACGACATTTAATGCATTTATTTGATAATTCCACACATTTGAACAATTTTACAGAAATTCGTAAAAATGTCAATATCCCAATAATTTCGACTATCAATAAAAAATAGAACCAATAAGTTTATAGCAGAATTAATGATAATCAGAACAACACTTAATCCATTTATTTGCTAATTCCAAACGTTTGAACATTTTTACAGAAATTCTTGGAAATGTCGATATCCCAAAAATGTTGACTGTCCATAAAAAAAACCAATGAGTTTATAGCACAATGTGTGATGCAGAATCGCATACGCCATTGTCAGAACGTCTTTAAAAGTTGAGTTCTCCACTATTTTTTTTAAGAATGTGCAATGTCTCATTCATGCTGAATGACCTTTATAGACAAAAATTAAATTTTAATAGAATACAAATTTTACCCAAAATATCTTAAATTATATTCGAAGCTAATATAAGCTTTTATTTACATTAACTTATAAACATTATTATTTATTTGAGTTTAAATAGGGAAAATGCCAGCTACTGGGACAAACTTAAGCGCACTTACCCTACAAATTTGATTTAAAGTAAAATCAGAATGATTATACTTTGAAGCAAAATTTAACCATTCCAAAATCAAGTCTCACATTACTTATGGGCCTTATATCTTACTTTTCTGCTTTAGAATATATTCTTCTTAAATAGAGTGTATAAAAACCATAAAAACACAATATATTTCCAATATATTTAAGGGATTCTCGGGAACACATCAAATCTATCTTCCTTTTATTGCTCATATTTTTATTTTATTGCTAATTTCCTTTTTATTTATAAAAATTGTAAAATTGGTGATGCTTTCTTTCTTTTAATTTTTTAATGGGGGCAAATTGGTTTGTTTTGACAAATCAGCTGCATTTTCCTTACAAAAGAGAATACAACTACCTTACTCTCTCAGAAAGATGTTGCTGGACAATTCCTGCAGGAAAAGTAACCAGACACACCTTACATTTAGACAAACTTCGCATAAACGTACCATTCAGACCCACTCGAGGATGGAATGTATTCATCGTATCGTCAGTTAAAAAATTGTGCAAGGCTATATTAGACCAAGTTTGAAAATGAATTATATCGTAGAAATAGTGTTCTTGTGAGGAACTGAAATAAGAAAAATAAAAAAATAAGGTATGTGATCGGTCGGTCTATGATTATCGACAAAAATTTAAAAATATAAGCAGAAACGTCTGAAATTTATTCGAAAAACACCAGAATTTTTAAGTCACCGCCCATCCGGTTGTACACATTCAAAATATCAATATTTCATTAGTACGATGCTATTGCAAACGTTATACACGCTGTGTGTCGTTATTGAAATGCCACATTATGTTGCAACAACATAAATTTGTATGTCTCATGCATTTTGCAACATGCTTTTTGTACACACTCTTACACAGATAGATTATTAGATAAATAACTTGAAAAAAAAACTAGCTGATTGATAAAATGTTGTAAGCGTACCGTAGAAAACTTGTTTGCTTGTCTTGTGGAAAAGTGGTACCACAATGAACATATTGCAAATAATTACCGTTCTGCATGTGAATATTTCAATAATTGAATAAACAATGGTAACATGGCATACTTGTGAGTGTACATATGCTGTGGCTTATGAAACTTCGACCAATCTTCACAAACTTGACATAGTTATGAAATATTGTTAACTCATGTGAGAAAGTTCCACAATTGGTCATTAGTATCATCCACCACCAGTAATGTCAAAGTTATATTAGCCATGTCCAAATTGTATGGTCTAATTGTACACTACATACACACAATGTACAAAGAGTTTTTTTACCATACCTTAGATTTTCGGCCAATTTTCAGTCCACATTTCCCAAATTTTCATTCGTTGCTGGTCTTACTTGCAAACATTTCGAAATTGGACTTCAAATGTTTTAAATAAAAGAATGTAGGCCCATAGATTCACATTTTTCGTTATTCTATGCTACTTAAAATATATATATATATATAAAGGAAATTATTAATAACTGTCAAAAGATACGATAACTAATATATTTTGGTTCTTTTTTTTCATATTTATTTATAAACATAAATTGGTTGTTGATAAGTATGCCTCACACACCACCAAACATGTTGTATTGTTTTACTTAACATCGCCGAACTTGAATCCATTGCAATACGGCCAGTGACCTTTTCTCTCACGTTGTATGAAATTTCCCAAACTCGTTTTCAGATTAGATCGCATTGACCCAACTTTGAAGTTGTTATGTTTCGGCCACCACTTAATTATGCAAAATTTTGTTATTAACCCAGATACGTATCGGGGATTTTTTATTTTCCTCTTTTCTTAATTACTTTTTGACAGGCAAAAAATTGTATATTTTTATAATTTGGATTAAAATCAATGGCATCTTTGAGAAGTAATCGTATTTCATATTATTTGAAAAAAACAAATGCCAAAATATCATATATTTTTCGGACTCTTTTGGAATATTGCCGATGTTAGATAATCCTACAATAAATTGTTTTTATTATTATTAGGTAAACTAGCGCCGTCCATAATTAATGATTTTTATATTGTTTAATTTTGAATACATTAAATTAGTTATACAAGTAGAAGAATCCAGAAACATCTGTGCTACCCCTTGTATTACATACTACCAAAGTCACATTATGAATTTTTATCAGTTTTAATTTCACATTTGTTTATTTCCAGCAATAATAAATTTCCCATTATTTTCTCCTCTCCAGATTATTGAAGATCTTAAATTACAACTACAGCGGCCATACAAATTGCATGATCCATTGGAAGATGTGGCATTCGAATATGGTTTCAACTCGAAATATTTGCAAAAGGTTATCAAATACTGGCGTGATGATTATTTGGCAAAGTGGTCGGAACGTGAAAGTTTTTTGAAAAAATTCAATCATTTCCAAACCGAAATTCAAGGGTAAGTTCAAGTCGATGATTATGAAAATACCAAAGATAAAAAGAGAAATAAAAAACAAAAAAAAAAAAAAACATTAATCGACTAGAGACTAGTGGTAGTTAGTTGTAAGTTTGTCCGCTCCATTTTGGTTGAATAATCTGTTATGAGTAAGCTGTTGGTTTCTTATAAAAAACACATGTTAATGAAGCTATTTCATCTTACTTTTTCACTTTTCATATTGCAAAACAATTTGCATTTTGATTTTTGCATAGAAACTAGTCTAAGTGGAATGTAAATATGAGTTTGATCCAATGAGGCGGGGAAATATTTTTGTTTTAATAGCATCTTTGAGGTGTTAATGTAATATTACAGTAAAATATAATATTTAATGAAGAATTTAAAATTAGCTTGTGGGCATAGAGAAAAACATGTAAGCAAAGGCTACAGTCGAGCGGTGCCGACAGTTGAATACCCTACAACACTATAATAAACTATACAGTTTATACAGGCGAGATACTCGAAAGAACTCCGCAAGATATTGTGACAAATAATAAAAGAAAACCATCATGTTTCGTTCTCTAATTTTCGGATAATAGCAGCTTAAACGAATTTGCTCATTTCCAATTTATTGGTAGATGTCGCTGGAATGGATAATTTCGTAGTTAGTCTACAAAAGTTGGCAAACTATTTCACACAATGAATATTTTTGGATGGCCATCCAAAACTGCTTGGCTTTTGCAATGTCCGGTAACCCCCATTCAAATGTGCGTGAGGATCGGGCGATAATTACGACCTGCTGACAATTTGGCAGTTTTTTGGTCCATTTCAACCCCTAAATATATAGCGATCATCTCCAAAAAGAGTAGGCATCTATTCTGACCCTCATCTTATCCCCATGCAAAATTTCGTAAGGATCGGGCCACAAATGGGATCTGTATATGATATCCTGATATCCTAACTACTTAGTTTTGTTAGCTGTAGAAATATTACCAAATGTTTAATTCAAAATGAAAATATGCCAAAAATGTGACAAAATTGAAAAAATATGAGAAAATGTAACAAAACCAATATTTTCATCTTTAGAGAGATATTTGTATGCGATTTTTTTAGACGTTTTTTCTTTCCTGTCAAGAGGCCATTCTGAATTAATGAGAACTGTCGAAATCAGTTCAGTCGTTCTCGACATATAAGAGATCTTTCAAGCATATCTTCTTTGATAGACATATATATCGCACATATTTTGCTATATATCCGATTTGTTGGATGTTAACATCAATGTAAAGGTCAGAAGTAACCTTTTCATGACTTTGTGATTTCGCCGGGATTTAAAAAATTCACGGTTTAATGAAAAATTTTGATTTTTTTCAACACAAAAGACATGGTCTATTTTACCCGCTAAATATTATCCGAAGACCACCCAAATTGGAAGACTTCTTCCCCGTCCTAAACTCTAGCTACATGCGAAATTCCGCGTCGATTGGTCTTAATTGCGACCTGTATAGCTACTGCAAAATCCGACATTTTTTCAGTATTTGGTCCATTTCAACCCCTAAACATTTGGCGATCATCTCCAAAAGAAATAGGCTTCTATTCTGACCCTAACCCCACCTTCGTGCAAAATTTTGTAAGGATCGGGCCATAATTGCGACCTGTAGAGTGATTACAAATTAACATGGACAGACGGACGGACGGACATACATAGCTAGATCGACTCAGCTCGGCGAGCTAGGAAGATCCATATATACTTTCCTATATGGGAAACCAATATTTCGAGGTGTTACATAATTTTTGGCCCAATCAAACTTATAATACCCCCAACACATAGTGTTGTAGGGTATAATGAGAAAATGATTGTGAAACTGATAACTTTGTACTGAGTATTATTAATTAGAAGAATAGTAATATTAAAAAGTGTCGAACACGAATAATGCAAGTATATTTCATTAGTTAAAGAATAAGAAACGGTCTAGTGACCGTGAGAAATTAAATTGTGCCCTCAGCATTTGACGACCCATGAAGATCGAACCCACATATCGTATCTTTAGCTTAGATTAATGTTAGTAGAAATATTGCAATGTGCAAAAGTAAAGCAGAAGGTCCTATAAAAATTTTGAACAATATGAGATATTTGAACTATATGAGATATTTTGTTGTTGCAAAATGGTAAGGCTTAATTCCTTTATTGATGTTTTTATAAAAACAACGTTTGTTTATTAGTGGAGAATGATGTTTATAAAGATTTATTCATATTTTTGAAGCACCAGAAAGAGTGTACCGATACTAAAAAGTATAGATAACACGAACATTGATTTTCCCCTTCAAGACAGTTATTAATCAAAATTTTAAATTTTATGGGGAAGGTACAAAAAGGTCGTAGCTGCCCTAAGTCTTATCTAAACATTAGTATGTGACATGATGGAACTACATCACATACTACCTGGAATCAATATGAGATTTTTATGTTCTTGTAAAATTTTGAGTATGAACAAATCGGATTTTCATTTCTTATTTTACACAGGTATTTCTCATATTTTTTACTTTTTGTGGGGGAGATACAAAAACAGAGATCGGCCAATATTGTCCATTTTCGGACGTGACCTAAATCATACATAAATACAGGGTGAGATAAAAAAACTGCAACAAAGTCAAACACCATAACTTTTAAATTTTTTTAATTTTATCGAATGAAAGCACAAAATGTCGGAAATAGCATCAAATTTTAGAATAAGTTTAGATTTGGTTGAATTGGTCACCTCTGGCACGAATTATAGCCTTCAAACGGCCAATGAAACCGGCACACGCTGCCCGAATGTTGCTCTGCGGTATTTTGGTCCATTTCCGGCGAACCGACACTTTGGTATTTTTTCTTCCATTGGATTGGTATCCGGAGATTTTGGTCATTTTGTAACCATTCTTGGGTGGCGCGTGCTAAGTGCGATGGTGCTGAGTCCTGTTGGAATGTCCAAGGTCCGCGGCCAAAATGTTCGCGTGCCCAAGGCTTCATTACACCCACCAGAATATTTTCGCGATAATATTCGGCATTTATTCTCATGCCACGGTCGATTAATAAGAGCGAAGAACGACCATCGGCTGTTATGGCGGCCCACACCATCACCATGGCGGCGCTTGAGTTCTGGTTGTCAACCGAAGGAGCACATTTTTAGGTGGCCTCTTTGGCAAGTAAACATGATCATTTTGTTTATTTACAAACTGCTGGACAACGGATGTTTTCTCATCAGAGAAAACCCAATTCGGCAGTTCACCACTTTCGGCCAAGAGAAGCAACTCTTTAGCTGCTTTGTGTCCATTTTCTTTCTGTTGCGGTGTAAGTTCTTGCACTTTTTGGAATTTCAATGGCTTTACGAGCTCATTTTTCAATATTTGCCGAATGGAATATTGCGATATGTTCGGCTCGGCCACTGCGACGCGGGTTTCTATCTAGTCGCTTCTTTACTTTTCGAACCATTTCTGCTGATGTTGCTGTTTTCTTCCGTCCACTTCCTTGACGTCGGGCTACGCTACCAGTATCACGGTAACGAGCGATGGTACGAGACACAAAATATTTATTCATATTTAAATGCTGGAGTGCTCTAACGATAGCCTCTTGGGGTTTTCCAGTCAAATATAAAGAAATCACACTATCACGCTTGATTCCATCACGAATAACTTTTTTCCTGGAAAATTCTCACCAAAATGTTTTGTCCACTTGTAAACAATATAATGAGCTGAAATAATTTTAACAGCTGTCGGATGAGCGGCTTAAAAATGACAGCAGTCTGAAGTTGGTTGCAGTTTTTTCAGCTCATCCTGTATCCAAATCTGAACCGATCTCCATAAAATTAAGCAAAGGTATTTCTGAGCAGTATTTGATATATTTTCCCTAATATCGTTGTTACAGAGTGCATACTTCGGCTGCGGAGAACACAAATAATAAATCGGATGAACAATATATATGGGAGCTATAGCTATATCTGAACCAATTTCGATCAATTTTGGTATGCTTGTTTCTAGGTTTGGTCGCATGAGCCAAATTCCATCCTATTTGGGCTTTGGTGCACAATATAAGGCAAATCGGACGAAGATATATATATGGGAGCTTCACCTAAATTTTGACCGATTATCTCCAATTTAGAGTTCTCCCAATAAATGCGACTTGAACGGACGGACATGCATAAATCGACTCAGAATGTGATTCTATGCAGATCAACAAAAGGATCTATGGGTCTATCTCGTTTCCTTTTGCCTGTTACAAATAAACCCACAAAGACATAATACCCTGACCAAATATACTTCTTTTGGAGTACGCCACGCCAACACCTTTAATTTGTATTCGATTTCGAAATTTTATCTATACAATATAATGGACTCTGCCCGCATCATGGAATGTTTAAAACATATCTGTTAGTAATTAGTAACCTGCCCTTGTCCTCTAAGGTTAATTCATCTACGTTTCTGATTTCAACATAAGGATTAATTAAAAATCCAAATAATTTTAAGCAAATTTTCTAAACTTAAGTCAATTTCCCAGTATTCCATTTATTTTGTGTTGATTTTTTGCGAGTGTATTTATCTGTCTTTAATTTTGATTTGGTTTCCTAATTATGTATGCACAGAAGCTCCATACATTGTATCAACATTCGCAGCGTCAGCTGCTTGGTGGGCCATTGACCACTTAGTGCATTTTTGGTCAGCTGTAGGTTAAGCTATTACGGCGGCTATAACGATAAATTTTAATGATTGTTATTGATATGTTTACAATTATTTTGTACACACAACATCCACCACTTATAAGTCCATTAAAATTTTTTATTCAAAGTTTATAGTTCAAGGTGCGTTCAAACACACCTGATAGTAATTGGCGGAGGGGACGTGTTTTATTCAAAATACTTTCCGCCAATCGACGACGAACAGTAGCCGTTGATTGAATTTCAATTATGTTTTTGTTTTATTGGATTTAGGTTTGCCAATTTATCAATAAAATGTGATAAGAAACGTGCTGAAGCACGTCCAAAGATTCGAGAAGATTCTATAAAGTTTGGGTATTTATTTAATGGCTGGTGAATCTGTTGTTCTATCGTAAAACTTTGGTAGTTAAATGTTGATAAGAATAGTAGACATAATTTAAAAATAGCTCAATTAATGACTTGACTAAATTTAGTATGACCATGCATATGTGATAGCAATTGAGAATTTTGGAATTTGAATCCCATATGGTTTAAGGGTTGATATCAACAAAATGGTAATAAAATAATTATAGCATATCAGAAGGGAAATATTACGTGTCATAATTTGGATTATAAGATTCTGCTGTGTAAATGTACCATTATTATCGTCATTTTAATTATATTTCACAACAGGCTAAGATCGACTATTATAATCCTGCATCTGCTTTATTTGTCCCATCTATTTATTCACAAATCACATATGACCTTTAAATTGTGCCCATACCTTCGAAAGCATTCTCGTTCTTATTCGAGTAAAATCGAAAACAGAATATGCTCGATTTTTTCTATTCCCTACAGTGCTCCCGCTCAAATTCGAGTAGAGTGTGGAACTCAGTCGAACTAAAACACATAAAAGAAGCAGTAAGTTTGGCCGGACGGTCTTTAAATCCCCTTTACTATTTAGAAAGACATTGCAAATTTTCAAAACAAAAATAAACCAAAAAAAAAAAAAAAAAAAAAAAAAAATATACGAAGCCAGGATGTACAGGATGGGATAAAAAACTGCCACAAAGTCAATCGTCATAATTTTTATTTTTTTTTAATATTTTATTGAATGAAAACAAAAAATGTCGGAAATAGCATTAAATTTAAGAATAAGTTTAGATTTGTTCGAATTGGTCACCTTTGGCACGAATTATGACCTTCAAACGGCAAATGAAACCGTCACACGCTGCCCGAATGTTGCTCTGCGGTATTTTGACCCATTCCCGGCGAAGCGCTTGGCATTATTTAGTGCCAACCTTGCTCTCCAAAATACTCCAAACACAATGGTCCAACGGATTGGTATCCGGAGATTTTGGTGGCCATTGTGCGCTGGAAGTGAAGCGAGGAACCTCATTTTGTAACCATTCTTTGGTGGCGTGTGCTGAGTGCGATGTTGCAGAGTCCTGTTCGAATGCCCAAGGTCTGCGACCAAAATGTTTGCTTGCGGAAGGCTTTAATACACCCTCCAGAATATTTTCGCAATCATATTCGACATTTATTCTGATGGTCACGGTCGATTAATACGAGCGGAGAGCGACCATCGGCTGTTATGACGGCCCACGCCATCACCATGGCCGGCGCTTGAGTTCTGATGGCCAACCAAAGTTGCATATTTTCAGCTGACCTCTTTGGCAAGTAACACGATCAATGTTTTCTCATCGGAGAAAACCAAATTCGGCACTTCACCATTCATTTTTCAATATTTGCCGAATGGAATATAGCGATATGTTCAGCTCACGAACCATTTTTCGGCCACTGCAACACGGGTTTCGATCAAGTCGCTTCTTTACTTTTCGAACCATTTCTGCTGATGTTGCTGTTTCTTTCCGTCCACTTCCTTGACGTCTGGCCACGCCACCAGTATTACGGTAACGAACGATGGTACGAGACACAATAGATTTATTCACATTTAAATGCTAGAGTGCTCTAACGATAGCCACTTGTGGTTTTCCAGCCAAATATAAAGAAATCACACTATCACGCTTGAATTCCATTACGAATATTTTTTTTTTTTTTCGGAAAATTCTCACCAAAATGCTTTTGTACGCTTGTAAACAATATAATGAGCTGTCACTGGAATAATATTAACAGCTGTCGGACGAGTGGTTTAGAAATGACAGCAGTTTGAAGTTGGTTGCAGTTTTTTTTATCTCACCCTGTATATACAATTTTTGTCATAGGGCATTCCGATATTCAAATACGAAACTTGAAACGATTCCGGTTAATAATATCGCTACTCATGGCCTCTGCAGTTTTTCTTTTCTTGGCTTTGGTGTACAAAACAGAAGAGTAGAAATCTTTGGCTCCAAAAAATAACACAAATGTCCTGAATTGCAATTGTAACTCCTAGAGCTTCAAGCCTATTTCATTTCTGCCCCAGCTTTATCATATCCTTCTACGTTGTACAATTCTGGCGCCCAAGCCAAAAGAGGTAATCTGAATTCTAGGACCACGCCTTGCTAAAACACTTTATTTTTTTTTTTTGGCTGCATAGAAGGTCACTAAAGATCGTATTATTTATCTCGCTGTTATAGTCAATGCAATGTGTTCATCCAATCTCTAATTTGAAATTTTTGTTTTTTATTCCAGATTGAAAATTCATTTCATCCATGTAAAGCCCAAGAAAACTGAAGGTAAAAAGGTATTACCCTTACTCTTATTGCATGGCTGGCCAGGCTCTGTACGCGAATTCTACGACATTATTCCCTTGTTGACGACACCCAATGACAAGAGTGACTATGTCTTTGAAGTTATTGCTCCCAGCTTGGTTGGTTATGGTTGGTCGCAGGTAAATTATAATTTGTCCTCCACACACACACAATTTTCATATACTCAAGTATGCAAATTCTCCAATTTTTTAGCCTGCTTCTAAGAAAAACTTTGGTCCAGCTGAGATGTCTGTTGTGATGCGCAATCTTATGTTGCGTTTGGGTCACAACAAATTCCTCATCCAAGGCGGTGACTGGGGTTCCATTATTGGCTCCAACTTGGCCTCCCTATTCCCCGAAAACACACTTGGATACCACTCTAATATGTGCGGCACCATGAGTCCTGTTAGCATGATTAAAATGCTTGCTTCCAACTTCCTACCAAGCTTCTTCTATGAAAAACAATATTCGAAATTCTTTAAACCTTTGGGCGATTTCTTCGGCTATATGATGGAAGAAAGTGGCTACATGCATCTGCAAGCCACCAAACCTGATACTATTGGTACTGCTCTGGCCCATAATCCAGTTGGCTTGGCTGCCTACATCATGGAAAAATTCTCCACGTGGACCAATGTTGAATTCAAACATTTACCCGATGGTGGCCTGACCAAACGTTACACTCTCGACGGTCTGCTCGACAATGTTATGATCTATTATCTGACCAATTCAATCACGACCTCTCAACGTCTCTATGCCGAAGCATTTAACAAGCCACAAATGGAACTGCAAATGGATCGTGTTGCAGTCAAGGCACCAACTGGCTGCGCTCGTTTCCTCCATGACCTCTGGCACACAACCGATTGCCAGTTGAAAGACAAGTTCGTGAATTTGGTTACAAGCACATACTACGAAGATGGTGGCCATTTCGCTGCCATGGAGTTGCCACAAGTATTGTACAATGATTTCATCGAATTTGTTAAGAAAGCTAATTTATAAATTTGATCGATATGTTAATTATAAATTATTATTTTGTTTTTCTATTAATAATTGTGGATGTGATTCAAAATATTTCATAGTTAGTTGGTTAGTTTTTTTGGAATGTTTTATAACTTTTGTTTTTCATGGAATGAAATATATTTTATAAAACAACAACAAAGGTTATAATATATTTATTTCTGAAGTACACTTGAGAGACTAGTACGTAGTACGGTTAGTGTATCATTTATGAAAAATTGAAGGGAAATATATAATGATGTTATATATAAATCGAACCGATTTGGACAACATTTGACTGAGGCTGAATTTGATGTATTGTGTCCAACATGATTGCTAAACAAGATTGTTATCGAATCGGATGAAACGCATATATGGAAGTTATTTTATTCCAAATTTCATATATTTATTTGGAGGCTGAATTCGGTCGTATGAGTCAAAATCAATTCCATTTCGTCACATATCAACTAATATATAAAAGTGCAACTGACCCAAACAAATGTGCTGTCCAACATCTCAATCCCATTCCCAATCGAGCGTGAATGCGACAAAAGAAAAAACGACAGACGGGCAGACGGATGGACGTATTTAAATCGATCCAGAACGTAATTCTATGGAGTTCGTCAAAAGGAACTATAGACCTACATGTTTTCTTTTGCTTGTTAGAAACAAATGCAAAAAGACATAATAATCTGTGCAACAGTGTGATGTAAAGAGAATTATGCCTGTATTAATAATATTTATTTATACAATGCCATTAAGAATTTGTTTTTAGATTAAAAATCCTGGAGAGCATCTAAAAGTATGCTATAAAAATGCAAAAGATAAATGTAGAAAATTGTCGCTTTACATATGACTTCAACACACTTTAACTAGATTCCATATCGTGATGAAGTCATATGTAAAGTGATTTGTTAAAATATTGTGATTAACAATTTGGAATCAGAATTTTAAGCGGAAACGAAATGCTATATTTTTTATACCCTACACAATACATAGTATGGAGGATTTATTAAGTTCTTCATTTCGTTTGTAACTCATCGAAATAATAATTTTAGACCCAACAAAGTATATATATTCTTGATCAGCGTAAAATTCTACGACATCCGTCTGTTGTAATCACGCTACAATCGAAACGAAGATGGGCTATATTGATCCACGATATCGTATAGCCCCCATGTAACGGTATCCTCAGATATTCGGTATTTTGATGGTTTTAGCCACATTTTTCAATGGAATTGTCTGAAATTCCACACAATGAGTTTCTTGTATGTACTTTATCCCCTGAATATATCTGTACCTTCCGATATTCGGTATTTTTAACAATTTTTCACAATTTCCTAATTTGTTCCAAATGGTGGAGAGTATCCAAAGTTTGGCCCGGCCAAACTTACTGCTTCTTTACTTGTTGTAATATATACTGTACAATGCTATATAATATACATGTTTCCTTTCAGAAAACAACTGGAAAACAAACAAAAAATGGTTAACAGAAATGTAGGAAAAGAAACTATACATAGGATTGTAACATTATTTGTATACCAGCTTCACAATTGAGCCTTGTAATAAATATACTTATTCTGGGAGTAACTATTATAATTCGTTGCTGTTTGTAGAAATGATAGAGCTCAAATACTACAACAAATAAAGGATCAGAAATTGACGCCGGTGCACTCATAGATGCTGGCTATATGGCAGAAATCAGTTTAGAACTAGAACTGTTTCTGAAGATTAAACTTCGATTGCAGTATTCGACTGCAACAACTTATACAGTTAAAAAAAATTATGTTAGTTGTTGCTGGCGAATTTCCTAATTTGTTCCAAATGGTGGAGAGTATCCAAAGTTTGGCCCGGCCAAACTTACTGCTTCTTTACTTGTTGTAATATATACTGTACAATGCTATATAATATACATGTTTCCTTTCAGAAAACAACTGGAAAACAAACAAAAAATGGTTAACAGAAATGTAGGAAAAGAAACTATACATAGGATTGTAACATTATTTGTATACCAGCTTCACAATTGAGCCTTGTAATAAATATACTTATTCTGGGAGTAACTATTATAATTCGTTGCTGTTTGTAGAAATGATAGAGCTCAAATACTACAACAAATAAAGGATCAGAAATTGACGCCGGTGCACTCATAGGTGCTGGCTATATGGCAGAAATCAGTTTAGAACTAGAACTGTTTCTGAAGATTAAACTTCGATTGCAGTATTCGACTGCAACAACTTATACAGTTAAAAAAAATTATGTTAGTTGTTGCTGGCGAATTTCCTAATTTGTTCCAAATGGTGGAGAGTATCCAAAGTTTGGCCCGGCCAAACTTACTGCTTCTTTACTTGTTGTAATATATACTGTACAATGCTATATAATATACATGTTTCCTTTCAGAAAACAACTGGAAAACAAACAAAAAATGGTTAACAGAAATGTAGGAAAAGAAACTATAGGGTAAGTGTGCCTAAGTTCGGCATGTCCCAGTAGTCGGCACTTTTTATTTTTAAGCCCAAATAAATGAAACTATTATAACTAAATGTATTTTGTTTACTTCAAATATATTGTCAGCTATCTTTGTGCACAATTTTGCTAAGAAAAGATGAATTATTCTAATAAAAATTAAATTTTTGTCTGTGAAGGTCCTCAACAATTCATATTCTTAAGAAAAGTACAATAAAGACGCCGAATCAGTTTAACTAAACAAAAATATTATATTTTAATGAATTAATTTATTATTATTATTAATTATTCTTACAAAAAAAATTGGTATGCCGACTGTTGGAACATGCCATACCGACAATTAGCAAGTGGTGCCGACTACTGGCAAAAAAGCACTGTTTTAATAAAACTACAAATTTATGAAATTGAATAAAAAGTTATTAAAACTTTATTTATTATTGCAAAAACTATACAAAATTTCGAATCTGAATAAATTAACTTTGTAGTAATTGAAAAGTTCTACTCAGAATGGTGAGCGATTAAAAACGCGAAAATCCTAAAAGTGCCGACTACTGGTACACTTACCCTACATAGGATTGTAACATTATTTGTATACCAGCTTCACAATTGAGCCTTGTAATAAATATACTTATTCTGGGAGTAACTATTATAATTCGTTGCTGTTTGTAGAAATGATAGAGCTCAAATACTACAACAAATAAAGGATCAGAAATTGACGCCGGTGCACTCATAGGTGCTGGCTATATGGCAGAAATCAGTTTAGAACTAGAACTGTTTCTGAAGATTAAACTTCGATTGCAGTATTCGACTGCAACAACTTATACAGTTAAAAAAAATTATGTTAGTTGTTGCTGGCGAATATTGCGACGTTAGCGCGGGTTAGTTTTCTGCGGAACAAGAATCGGTGATATTAGACTTATAAAATTGTAACCATGAGCAATAGCTGAAGTTTTCTTCTCTTTAGGGAACCGTATCCGCATTCAAAAATTTCAAATATCTTAGAAATTTTAACAACCAGTGGCAAATGTCGCTACTCTGACAGTGAAAAGTCCATCTTACATTTTTAGATATTTTCAAACAGTTTTTCAATTTGTTCAGATTGACAAATTTTCTTATTTAAAACTGCATACATGGTGCAAAATGTTGAGACTTTTTGGAAAGAATAATGGGGAAATGTTTACGATTTTTACCAAAATGTCTTCAAAATCGTTTATTTTTATATTTTCCGAGGAGGACATTAGTAAAACCATTGCAAAATGGACCAACATCCAATTTAATAATATACAATATCAAATTTGAGAATTCAGACCTATACATTTACCCAATACCCAATTTAGAACCACTTAGTTCTTTTCGAACAATTATAGTACACATTTCCAAACCCAGCTCCTTCTACCAACCACGGATACTAACAATGACATCTATATCAAATTTCAGTATTCAAGTTCTATTCCCTTAACCAATAATTCCAAATTTACTACAATTTTGTACTTTTCGTACACATTTTCAAAACCGCCTCCATATCTCAACAACAGACCATACCAAATTTGGTAGTATTTATTAAGTTCCCTACAATTATAGCACACATTTCCATACCAAATCCATATGCCAGGCTACACATGAACATCGACCCTCTCTGTTCACCCAATACCAATTTGTACCAAATGTAGTACTACTTAGTACTTTTCGTGCACTTATAGCACATTTCCAAACTCTTTGCCACAAACCTACCACCAGCAGAGATCCCAATACTAAATTTCAAAATTCCACCTTCATCAGTTTACCCTAAACAATTTGTTCCGAATTTAGTACCATTTTGTAAAGTTCGCACACTTAGTACACATTTCCTAAACCACCTTCATATATCAAACTTACTTTCCAAATCTTGATTCTCATACTTAATCTCAAGTTTTTAGCTCTATCCGTTCACATAATACCAAATGTAGTACATTTTAGTGCTCTTCGTTATAGTGCGAGTTTCTAAAAACCCTTTGGTACATTCATCATACACTCCCTAAGTGACCCTCATTTCAATTTTAGCTATCCTTGTTCTTTGTATAATAGGCTCAACAAAATACTTCATTAAATTATTACATTTGGAATAACTGTATTAATTATAACTGCCTGAAAACATTCTAGAAGATTCTAAAACAATATTTTACTCTCTTCTCGAATTCGAGTGGGAGCACTCCTGCCAGTAAAAAACGAAATCGAGTATGCTCAATTTTTCTAAAGGGTCAATCATGAAAAAATATTATGCTGAACATTTAGAAAATACATAGCACAGATTTGCTCATTTTCGCTCAGGAGCGAAACTTGCTTACGGGCATTGCTAGATTTGATTGCTAGAAGTGTAGGAGTTTTTTACGGAGTATACTCTTCACTCATTTGTTTTGAGTGGATGCTCTTCCGAGTCATGAAAAATTAGAGTCGGAGCAAAATCGCTCGAAATAGAGCAAGAGTATAAATGAGTGGAAAAAATGTTTGGTTATCTGATTTGTGTGTGCGTTTGTATGTAACAGCGAACAGGTCTTGATGTTGCTGCGTGCTGTAGAAGAGGATGGAAAGAGAAAGGCGACCTTGTACTGAAAAAAAACATATACATAGAAATACAATAACGGTGTGACAAAAACGTTAAGAGTGCTCGGAAAGAGTAGAATCTGCTCGATTTTTACAGTTTTTAGTCCCACTCAAAAACGAAGAAAATATGCTCACTCATGTTCGATCAACACCAAACAAATTGAGTTTGCTCGATTTTTTTGCTTCCAGGAGAGCAAGTTTTTCGGAGATCTGGAATATAGCGGTAATATACTCTTAAACGCTGTGCTATAATTGTGTTCATTGGTGTACTTTACTCATTCAGTAGCAAAAACGCCAAAAGAATTTGATAAGAACAAATCAAATCATTGGACGCACTGGGCCAATGAATAGACGGACGAAAGAGGTACATACACGTATCGTAAACAACAAAACCGACTTCTGCCCACAACAATGTGAACATATGTATGTACGTACATTTTGTGGCTGGAACGAGATACGACGAAGTGGGGTATGATCGCCCATAGAGATCGTTTATGGCTTAATGCACTTATCATGCGATAACAATGTTCAAGTCTGAATAGATACGTCGTCACTGTTTTTGTTTTGGAATAGAACCCGAACAGCAGACGGACGGCCAATAGGGAAAACAATAACAAATAAACAATCCAGCTAATAATGACGATTAGGGTTGTAGTAGCAGCACTCAATCGCGCCGTGCTATATACGCTAGTAAATGCTTTGGAGGGCAGTTGTCTATAATACCTGGAACATAACGGTGGCACGCTTGGGTAATAAATTTTCGCAGACACGTCACTACAACAGGTGATAACAATGTCGCTCATAACACGTATCTTGGTCCTTGCGCTCGCCATGGGCGGCGGAATGCTCTACAAGAAAATCTCCGACACAATGGGTGATGTTGAGGCACCCCAACTGCCGCTGAATCAATGGTGGGGCGATGAAGAAGAGCCCAAAGACTGGCAGGCCTATTTGGCCAATTCATCGGAAGTAATTGGCAATCGTTTAATGTATTCCGATACGGTAATAGAATAAAGTTTGAAAAATGATTTTGAACAAGTGATTGATTGTGATTTGTGTGTGTGAGTTGTGTTCATTTTTTGTTTTTCTCAGACTCTGGACGATTTGAAATCACTACTTAACAGAACTTTGCATTTAACTGAACCTCTGGAAGATGTTAACTTCGAATACGGTTTCAATTCCAAGTTCTTGCAAGAATTGGTTGAGTATTGGCGCGATGACTATATGCCGCGTTGGCGTGAACGTGAAGTTTTCCTATGGCAGTTCAATCACTTTACCACCGATATTCAAGGGTAAGGTTTTTATACACAAACATGTGTCCGAGTGTCTTATCACTATTCGTTGATGTTGTTGTTTTTGTTAACTGTCAATCATTTCTTATCACCTGGATTTGTGATTCTCTTCTAATTTAAAAAAAAATCCTATACAGCCTACGTATGCATTTCCTCCATTTGATGGTCTATGATGAATACACCGTCGATAGACACCATTATCCAGTTCTCCTGCTTCATGGCTGGCCCAGCTCAGTTCGGGAGTTTTATAGTCTAATCCATAAATTGCATCAAACGAAAAAGGACAAAAACAACAAATATATCTTCAATGTCATTGTGCCAAGTTTGCCAGGATTTGCTTGGTCACAGGTAAGTTTGAAATGGAATTGGAGTAGTAGAATTGTATGAAAGATTTAACAAAATTTAGACCACTTCTAAAAACTGAGAAAAACTTATTTTCAAAGAGATATTTTCCACCATATGCAAGTTTGGCCAATAGTGGAATTTTCTACGCAATTTTTTGAATTAGTGACCAAATTAAATTAGTAAAGAACGATGAAGGAGTGACAGCCATATGGCTACAAAAGGGTGATATAAAAAACTCCAACAAAGTCAAACGCCATATTTTTTTAAAAAATTTTATTGAATGAAAGCAAAAAATGTCGGAAATAACATCAAATTTTAGTATAATAAGTTTAGATTTGTTCGAATTGGTCATCTTTGGCACGAATTATGGCCTTCAAACCGCCAATGAAACCGTCGCACACTGCCCGAAGGTTCCTCTGCAGTATTTTGACCCGTTCCTGGCGAAGCGCTTGCATGAGGTGATCGAGTCCAAGGCTTTAATACACCCTCCAGAAATTTTTCGCGATAATATTCGGTATTTATTCTGATGCCACGGCCGATTAATACGAGCGGAGAGTGACCATCGGCTGTTATGGCGGCTCACACCATCACCACGGCCGGCGCTTGAGTTCTGGTGGCCAACCGAAGTTGCCCATTTTCAGCTGACTTCTTTGACAAGTAAACACGATCATTTTGTTTGTTTACAAACTGCTGGATAACGAATGTTTTCTCATCGGAGAAAACCAAAAATTCGACAGCAACTCTTTAGCTCTTTTGGGTCCATTTTCTTTCTGTTTCGGTGTAAGTTCTTGCACTTTTGGAATTTTAATGGCTTTACCCCGAGCTTATTTTTCAAAATTTGTCGATATTTAAATGCTGGAGTGCTCTAACGACTTGTGGTTTTCCACTTGTGGTTTTCCAGCCAATTATAAAGAAATCACACTATCACGTTTGAATCCCATCCCAACATACCAAAAATACAATACAGCTTGAGAACAATATTATAAAAATATAATTTTTCAACAATGCTTGAGAAACACTTATGTTCCACAAACTTTTCTCAAATCTGTCCTTTGTTGACAAATTAGTTTGGATTTTTTGTAAAAATTGTCAGCAAGAAATTATTTTCTTTGGTAAAAAACAAAATCATGCGAATTTAGAACCCATTTCTGGACCGAACTCTTAAGGTATGGATGAATAAAAAATCCGGGAATCTTTCACATAAATTATTCCAATCCCATTTCAGATTGGAAGCATCAAAAAAGTTTCAGGAATTCAATCGATGTGTAGTCTAAGTGGAAGAGATGCAGAAGCTCAAATAAGGGAGAAAAAAGCGTCAGGGTATGAAGGCAGTGACTACTGAGGCAGTGACTACTGGGATGTCCATCAAGAAAAAAATGTGAAATATGATTAAAAATTAAAAAAAAAAAAATATTTTATACTATTACACAAATAAGCTTAATATAATATTATTTTCGTAAGCTTATAAATAAGGGTTCCGTTTCGATTATTCTATACTTGTAACACAAACATTTTTCAATGTTTTCTCAAGATTTTCTCAAGCTTAAGGCTTATGTTCATAAGCTTATTGTAATATTATTCTCAAGCCATTTTGGCATGTTGGGATCATGAATATATATATTTTTTTTTTTTTGGAAAATTCTCACCAAAATGCTTTTGTACGCTTGTAAATAATATAATAGCTATGACTGGAATAATTTTAACAGCTGTCGGGCGAGTGGCTTAGAAATGACAGCAGTCTGAAGTTGGTTGCAGTTTTTTCATCTCAGGACCATTTGATACGGCCAAAACGTGCCTAAACGAAATAACGGTTTTAGACCTGCCTTTGGACAAAATCCGTTTCAGGACATTTATAGTCGATCTGTCCTAAAGCTGTGCTGTGTACGGTCTCTCTTATTAGTTTGCACGATAACTATCGAAAGGAGTATCCGAGTTGATCCAAACTTGGTATATCGCCATAGTATTGTCAAACTTAGATCGAATTGGGAGATGGGTAATATCGGTTCACTCCTTCTAATAACTCCACTATAATTTATCGTATAGAACAAAAAAAATATAATCCAATTTTGTGCAAACTTAATGTTTTGTATCAGTACTAGGTCAACTGGAAAAATGGATAATATCGGCCCACTCCTCCCCCACAAATGGTCAACATTTTGAACAATTAATCAGATTTTCTTCAAATTTCACACATTCCAATATTTCTACTAGCACAAGGTCAGGTGTGAAGATTGAGCAGATATCGATCTACTTCTTCAGGTACCTCCCCCACAAAAGGGTCGACATTTTGAATAACAATGAATATCATTAAGCGCGAAATGAGTATCCGATTATTTTCCAATATTTCCAACATTCAAATATTTTTATTAGTACAAGATCAGATGTGAAGATAGAATTTGTCGGACCACTCCATCTGGTGCCTTCCCCTAAGAGGGTCAAAATTTTGAATAATTGCATTAGATACTCTTCTTCAATATCTGTGAACCAGAAGGAGTAAACCAATGTAGGTTTACTCCTTCTGGTACCTTCCCCACAAAGGGTCAAAATTTTGAATAACCAAACGCTCAAAAATGCGAAATAAGCATCCAATACTCTTCCAAATTCAGACATCTCAATGTTTCTACTAACACAAGATACCACCCTCACAAAGAGTCGCTAATTTATCTGCCCAATGCTTCTGGCACCTCCCCCTCAAAAATTTTAAATTTTGATTTGCAATTATTCGTATGAAATTTACATTCCAATATTTTTATCAGTATTAGACGAAGTGAAATACTTCGGTCCACTTTGTCTGGTATCTCACACACATTTTAAAATTTTTCAAAAGTTATTACATATCCCATATAAAGTGAAGAAAGTAGACGAAATAGTCCAAATCTTGCACGGAACCTCAACATTTTGAATAATAATAATAACGCAGGTCAAAATATAAACGAACTTTTGCTGAGGGTATACATCTGTCATACTCGACTGAAACTTTTTAATTTGATGTAATATATGTAGGAGATCAGCAGTATAAACTTTTCAGTGACGCTGGTTTATTTACACTTGCCAACTTCGTCCACATACTGAATCGGATGAGGAGGATGTTTACGGATTGGTATCCATTCTGATCCGAAGTGCAGCTTCAACTCTCGTGGCCGCAAGTAGTCTTCTCCGTCTCGATATAAAGGGACACACTAAGAAAAAAATTACTCTACCATACTATTAAGTAAATCCTGAGATCTTTCCTGGCTATTATTAGTCCCCACACGAAATAGGCTTCTACGAATCCAGTTCTCCAGAGAAGAAACATAAGATTTTGCAATGAAATATATCTAATTGTTTGTTGTTTTTTTTTTAAATATTGTTGGATAGTATAAGTTATTCTCAAAATATGTATAAATTTGAATTGCTGTCACGCACGGTGCCATAATTTTTGCATATCTACCAAATATGTTTACGTTTTCGTTTTCAACGCAGCGAATGCGGTAGAACTTTTTAGCGTAAAGTATATGGGCGTTTCCATAAATAAATGAACGAAGCAAGAGATATAATTTACTAAAATTGTTGGCCCTTTGTAGGAAATGTAACATAGGGAGTGAACCGATTGGGATAGTTTAAAGAAAATTGGACACTGATTTCACATTATCTTTTGGGGGGGAGGACAATACACAGTGAATCAATGTTTTTTCCATGTTTGCTCTTGACTTAAGTCTGATGTAAATACAACCACGGATACGCGATTTATTTATTTATTTTTTTTTTCAAAATATTAGACTTGACCTATATTTTATCTAAACATTATTTGCCAAGATTTTACAATATTGGAAAGTTCCATCTCTCATTATGAGGTTTTTATGTTTATACCCTACACCACAAGGTTGTCAGGGTATTATGTCTTTGTGTATTTGTCCGTAACGAGCAAAAGGAAACGAGATAGACCCATAGTTCCTTTTGATGATCTGCAGAGAATCACATTCTGAGTCGATTTATGCATGCCCGTCCGTCTGTCTGTCCGTCTGTCCATGCATTTTTGTAAACAAAGTACAAGCCGTATTTATTGCTCGATCCAGATGAAATTTTACACAAAAAAAGTTAGATATAGCTCCCATATATATCCTCGTCGGATTTGCTTTTTATTGTGCACCAAACGTGTAATATCAGCCCGAATTGTATGGAATTTTGCATATACACCCAAATTAGGCCTGAAAATGTGTATGCCGAATTTGATCGAAATCGGTTCAGATATAGTTATATCCCCCATATACATTTTTCATCCGATTTGTTATTTTTGTCCTCTGCAGCCGTAACATGAACTCTGTAACAACGATATTAGAGGAAATGTAACAAATACAGCACAGAAATACGTCTCCCAAATTTAATCGCGATTGGTTCATATATCTTCGTCCAATTTGTTCAGATATAGCAATAGACCCATATATATTGTTCATCAGATTTGTTATATTTTTATTTGTTAAATGAAACTCTACTTAATATGCAAGGGGGGACTTTTGGACTCTCTTTGTTGGTTTTCTTTTGGTAATATTTATGCCCTTTAAGAGGTACCAGAATTAAAAGACCAATAAATTCCATTTTAACAATGGTTTCAAAATAGCCAAAAATATTAAAATGTGCTAAGTATGATTCAAATCGGACAATGACCACAGGTTGATTGCAAGATTTTGACCCTTTGTGGCGTCCATTTTCACACCTTGACCTATGTCTTATCTAAATAATACCATCAGATACCTCACAAGCTAGTTCATTGTGACTTCAAATTTAATAATAACAAATGCAACATTTAGTTTATTTGAGATTTTTTTGAACTTTTTCCTTAATGTTTTAATTTAAGAGAATGTCGCCCTAACATTTTCAACCCATACCGCATTAAATTATCTATTATCTCGATTAACCCAAATTATCAGGATTTGCTTAAACCGGATTTATTCAACCCGTTTTATTTTAAATCCGGTGTAAAATCTACATATTAACGTAAAACATCACTGGGTTCCAGATTACTTTTACGGTACATTCCAAAGTCGTATAGTTTCCGCACTGACACAATTAAAAAAAAAACAAGTAAAAAAGCATTAAGTTTGGCAGGGCTGAACCTCAAACCCTCCCTCCACCGTTTTAAATATAAAAGAATTGGGATTGAATATTGAATTTATGCCAGTGAAATCGGTTGGTAAAGTCTTAAGAATAACGTAATGTTGATGGTACCATTTTCCTGCTACAGTGGTTGTTATCTATTTCGGGATTTAAATCCAAATCTAAATCAAATTAGAAAAGAATCTGTTTAAAAATGTGGCTAAACCCAACAAAACCTCAAATATTTTGTAATATCAGTGATAAAAAATATTAATAATCCAGGGCCTCAATTCTTGTTCTATGAAAATGTGAAATGAATTTTTTTTTAAAGGAAAGAAATGTCAAGTGAGAAATTGTATAAAGGAAATATTTTTCATTTCATATCTCCATAGAACAAGAATCCAGCCCCAGCAGTCTTCTGTCAAAGAAGACAGAACCCATTATAAACTCCACATACCGAATTTTCCACGACTTCACTGGGAAATTTGGCCAAAACCGTCAGAATCCCAAATCAACGTTACAAGTTTTAAATTTCGAATATTAAACAATTCCGTTTGAAAAATTGGCTTTAATTGTGGGGATGTACAATTATATGGGACAATAAGAAAAATTAACCTATATAGACAATGTTGGGCCATAGGAGGTGGAATCCGTTACAAACTTAAAGTACCCAGTTTAAGACAATTCTGTCTTAAATGTAATATGATCTAAATCGTCAAAATACCGAATATCGGGAGGCACTATTATTTGGGGGCTATACGATAAAAAACGAGTGCTACCCCCATAAGGGTGGGAAACGTAGACGTAAAAGATTCTAAGAAACAGTTATATGAGGACTATTTCAAAGCTTCGACTTCGGCCTATTCTTTGTGGGGATTTCTCTACATACTGGGAATACAAACTTGCAGTTTAAAGCAAATTCGACTTAAAACAATGATTGGAACACCCAAAACACCTTAAATCTTACGGTACCGTTATATAGGGGCTATACCAAAGCTAAATTGATATAGAATTTTATGCTGATCAAGAATATACACACTTTGAAGGGTCTACAATGCTTATTTGGAGGAGTTGCGACCGGAATGGCAAATTTAATATACCCTTCACATATATTATGGGGAAGGTTATAAAAAGTTTTATACCTAATGTACATATTATTTCCGCAAATGCTGTAGAAAACAATTTCTAATTAAAATAATACATTGTTAATGCTTATTTATAATCAATTATAAATAATGGTCCAAAGATTAAATTATACGACAGGTTAGTTAATGCAACTCAACCTTTCAATAAATAAATAAAGCAACACATATAGATACAAATTTATGTTGTAATACACACACACATACAAATGTACACTTTTTTATTCATTTCAGGGCACATCGAAACGTGGTCTTGGTCCAGCTCAAATCGCTGTAATGATGAGAAATCTGATGTTACGTTTGGGTTATAAAAAATTCTTTATTCAAGGCGGTGATTGGGGTTCTATTATTGGCTCACACATTGCCACACTGTTTCCGGAGAATGTGCTTGGCTACCACTCGAATATGTGCACTGTTTCAAGTCCCAAATCAATGGTAAAAGGTTTGATAGCTGGCACTTTCCCTGGACTCTTTGCACCAAAGGGCTACGAAGACTTCTTTTCGCCAGTATCAGAAAAAATACAATATCTCTTGGAAGAAACTGGTTATGCCCATTTACAGTCCACCAAACCCGATACATTGGGAAGTGCTTTGCATGACAATCCAATCGGCTTGGCAGCCTATATACTGGAAAAATTCTCAACGTGGACAAATGCCACCTATCGTCATCTGCCCGATGGTGGTCTCAAGAAACGTTATAAATTAGACGCTCTGCTGGATAATGTCATGATTTATTATCTAACAAATTCCATTACCACATCGGTGCGTATTTACAAAGAGGCAGTGTCCGAGGAACAACGTGCTTTGAAATTGGATCGCGTTCCTACGAATGTACCCACTGGCTGTGCCCGCTTTAAGAATGAAATGATGCATTTCTTGGATCTTCAATTGAAGGATAAGTACAAAAATCTGATACACAGCACCTACTACAAGGAGGGTGGCCACTTTGCGGCCATGGAGGTTTCAAATGTGTTATATCTAGATTTTATTGAATTTGTTAAGAAAGTGGAGAAGGTGAAGAAAATTACTGGCTACAAGAGAGAACTGTAAATAAGACCATAGTTTTCAAGTCTTATTTCTTATTTTTAAAGATTTTTCAAAATAAATAAAAAAATATTTTATTTTATTTTGTTTTTATGGGATATTGTGACAATTAACAACTTAAAAGGAGTAGTAGAACAGAAACAACTGTATTGAAAATATCAATTGGTTGTAAGTTTTGTTTTTTTTTTTAAAGTGAGTAGATTTGCAAATGTTTTCCTATACAACGCCAATCGGAGGTTGTGATGATGAAAATTTTATAAATTTTAATAACTTTTCATTCCAAAAATTTCCATATACATATTCAAATTGGTTTGGCAGTTCATTGTCCCATCAGTTGTGTCGATGCGGCTACCTATATTCTTCCACGGTGGATCAACCCAACAAAGACTGATTATTGATTAATCCGCATTTATTTAACCAGTGAGCCGTGCCAAAAAATATCTTTAATATTAACGGAAAGCATCATTGTAAACAGCAATTGTACTGCCATTCACTGGTCCTGAAATGTACTATTTTCTATTTTTTAACTATTTTATATTTTAACTATTTTCTGTATTACCAGCAGTCTCAAAATAATGGGGGTCTTCCAAATTTACTGTAAACAAACAATCTAGCGCATTACCAGTGTGTTGGAAATAAAATACGAGCCAAGGTGTAGAGAAAATGATACACAAGCAACTTGGCATCATGACATGGCATATTTGGTGACATATCAGAAAGAGATGTCATAGCCGCTCACAAAGCTTTTATAATTTCACATTAATATGCAATGAACAAATTACATTTAGCTTGATATGAATTTGTAAATATAATGAGTTAGATTAGATTAATTTGTACAGTATTTTTTGCTTACCTGCACAATCAAAAATTGCATGACATCTTGTGCAGCAATGCCCAAAATGCAGGTAGCTTCATTGCACTTATCTGCACAATGAAGCAGGTATCTTTAATTTTACTTACGTGCACAAAAAGTGCAGGTATCTTTAATTTTATATTCGTATGTATTTGAGCATCAGTGGTGTTTTATCCAGCATAACCATCTTTTAGTGTGGGAGAGGAAGCGAGAATATGTTTTTAATGCATGCTCTTTTCTTGTGTTGTTATTGTTTTTGCGAATACAAAAACAAAAACGAAATGGTAGTTTTTAGTATCGTTTTTGAGTTTCCAAAAAATTTTCTTGTGCAGATAAATACAACTTTTGTAACCAAATTAAAAAAAAATTACCAAATTTTCGAGGCAGGAATGTCCAATGTGCAGCTATCGATTGGGCACTTAAATACAATTCAAATAAAGGGATTCAGAAAAAAATGGCATAACAAAAGTTTTTTGGTCTGCAAAGGCCAATGCGCAGCTAATGTTGATGCAGGTAAATAGAAACCACTGTAATCAGTTCCGTTTACTAAAATGGATTAAACCCCCATTATTTGGTAATGGAACTTTTTGCCATTGCTCGAAGAAGTTCATTTTTGACTCAATGGCTACGTATGTATATAGCCTTATACATAATGTTAGAGACTTATGTAAATCTTCATTTTTTACATTTATATTATGCATTTTTATACCCTACACCACATTGTGGTAAGGGTATTATGTCTTTGTGCATTTGTTTGTAACAAGGAGAAGTAGACGAGACAAGCCCATAGTTCCTTTTGGTGATCAGCATAGAATAACATTTTGAGCCGATTTATGCATGTCCGTCCGTCTGCCCACGTATTTTTATAAACAAAATGCAGGTCGCATTTATTATTCGATTGAGATGAAATTTTCTAAATGACATTTGTTTGGCTCAAGGACAAACCCTATTGAAATTGGTGAAAATCGGTCCAAATTTAGATAAAGCTCCCATATATATCTTCATCCGATTTTAGGTTTCTTGTGCACCAAATGGCTAATATCAGTCCAAATGGTGTGAATTTTGCTACATCTGACCGACTTTAGCCTACAAGCATGTGCTTCACATTTGGTGAAAATCGGTTCAGATATAGCTATAGCTCCTTTCATCCGATTTATGTTTAAGTCCCTCACATTCGTAATATGCACTCCACGAGACTGATATTTTTCACCAGGTATCAGATACAGCCTAGCAATTCATGATTCAAATTTTATCAAGATCGTTTCCGATTTGGATATAGCTACCATATATATCTTCATCCGATTTTAGGTTTTTGTGCACCAAATAGCTAATATTAGCCCAAATGGGGTGAATTTTCGAAATTTAACCGAGTTTAGCATAGAAGGAAGAATTTCAAACAGCATTCGTTGTCCAGCAGTTTGTAAACAAACAAAATGATCGTGTTTACTTGCCAAAGAGGTCAGCTAAAAATGTGCACCCTCAAGCGGCGGGCATGGTGATGGTGTTGGCCGCCATAACTGCCGATGGTCGCTCTCCGCTCGTTTTAATCGACCGTGGCTTCGGAATAAATGTCAAATATCATTGTGAAAATATTCTGGAGGGTGTATTAAAGCCTTGGGCAAACATTTTGGCCGCAGACCTTGGACATTCCAGCATATGACGGTTTCATTGGCCGTTTGAAGGCCACAATTTGTGCCAATGGTGACCAATTCGAACAAATCTAAACTTGTTCTAAAATTTGATGCTATTTCCGACATTTTTCTTTCATTCAATTAATTCAAAAAAAAAAAAAATGTAAAAATTATGGCGTTTGACCTTGTTGCAGTTTTTGTATCTTACCCTGTATAAAATTGATTAGATTCATTTTTGTAAAACTTTTCTGTTCCCGTACTTCTTCAACTATTTTTTATGCTTTCATAACAACAATTTTTGATAGCTCTCTCTAAAAATGTACTGTAATGGAGCTTACATATTTATGTACAATATTATAATGTCTCACGCAGAAAAAACTTGGAAGCTGAACGAGCCAAATAACCCATTATTAGTTAATTTAAATAAACTTCTTTCTGCAGAATACCATAGATATACATATATGAATGTCCTGACCACAAATTCAGTGTCTTTCATGATAACACAATAACATTGACTCTAGCCGTTAAATACCATAATGGTGTGTCATACGTCGACAAGTCATAAATGGCTTGCTGCGTAATTTCCGTTTAATAATAATCACGGATTAATACGTTTGCAGATATGTACAAGACCCTACATCGAGCGGGCAGAATGAGCAATATAATTGAGCAGAGTCGGAAATTAAAATTTAGAAATATTAATATATAAATATTATGGACATATGATATAGTGAAATTATGTAATGATAATGGCATAGGATATTTTCTTTTAACGCTGCAGAGGATATATATTTGATAAGCCTAAAAGGTGTTATCGACATATCGATGTTAGGCCAAACGTATAGCGTCCTAAGTTATAAGTATGAATAAGGTTCGCGGAGAGAGCACCTATATGAACTCGCTCTTTCTAGTGCCTCCCCATAGACGGTCTTTGTTTTCAAAAATATATCCGATTCCACTGAAATATTTGTATCAGGCTTACGACCTTTCGATATCCCTCCGTCTGTCTGTTTGTCCGTCCTTCTGTGAAAATCACTATGTTTGTTCTGCATGACTTTGAAAATGTTAGGTATTTGAAAATATCTGTACCGACATTTTTAAGGTTTTTTTTTTGTGGCTGTTTTAGTCACAATTTGTAAATTGGCAGCATATGTTCCCCTTACGTAAGAAACATCCCTCCGTAAAACTGTCAATGTAGGTCTAATTTTTGATATAGACCCCATAAAACTGTATCTCCAAGTATTCGGTATTTTGATGATTTTTGTCACACTTTTCGTCGGAAATCTTTCAAATTTCCAATTTAAAGTTCCTAATGACAGAAAATTGCCTATGCAGGTCCACGTCTTTGTATAGCCCCCATAACATGGTACCTCCCTATCTTTGATGATTTTAACGACATTATTCAGTGGAATTTTTTCAAATTTCCTATTCGAGGCGCCTAATGAGTACTACCGTCTTTGACAGAAAATTTCCGTAGTCCATTTTTAATATTTTTATAAATTTAGGAATATTTTTCACCGAACTTACTGAATTTTTACTTGCTTTATGTTCAAGACAGATTAAAATAACATAAATATATTTATGATTTTTGTTTTTTTTTTTCTTCTTTCTTCTGTTTTTACAAATTCTTATAGTGTTTTTTTTTTTTAACTTATCACTAGGGATTTTTAAGTCGGAGCAGTTGGCATCTCTGACTGTGCCCAAAACAAAAATCATGTCGACTTAGCTATGGAAAAGCAGCAGCAAAGTTATGCTTTCTTAGATCACAAGATTTTATCTCAGAATACGTTTTAATAAATGTCATTAAACACATGCTTTCGACTGCTTTGTGTCTCGTATATTCATTTCTGTATCATACTTTTGCGAATTATTTTCTTATTTTCGCAAGGAGGATTTATTCAGGATTTATTTTTATTTAGGTATCACTTAAAGATTATTTGCAAAATGTTTTATATATTTTGCATGATAAAATAATTAAAAAGGTAATAGTTAATAATTGGCTGAATGATCCCAAAATATCCAAGTATCAACAAAGAGATCATCCCTTCTACATACATATGTACACATGCATACTATAACATTTAGCCACCACTGTGTTTCTCCATGTTTTGCTATCCTTTGCCTGTCATTCGGATTTTATTTGCATTGTTTTTTGCACAAGGCATGCATTCACAAATCCCGTCTCTGCACTCATCATTTGTGAGAATCCTAAGAATAGAGTGCAACAAGAAAAAAGAAGAGTTGCAGTACATACATACCTACCTACCCACAAACAAAAACCGAATTCATATCGATCAAAGTAGGAGACATAAGCACACATCCAGCGAGTTAGTGCCGGTACCAACATTATAAGAAGAAAAAAAAAAAAACAATTTACATAACACATTAATCGTGATACCGTTAGATATTGATCTTCATTACAAATCGAATCATTCATCGATCGCCATCTAAATATTTAATTAGTCAAAAATAAAATTAGAACAAAACTTCTCCCTCAGTATGAATAAAACCGAACTGAAGCCAACTGTGGCCCTTACCAGCGCCACAGTGGACAAAATGTCACGTCATGATATGCTGGAGTGGGTTAACAGTACAGTTCATGGCCAACACAAGAAAATCGAGGAGCTGTGCTCCGGTGAGTACTTATAAGGAAGATTGAATGCTTTGTGCATGATTAATTTTTCCTTTTATATCCTTAGGTGTGGCCTACTGTCAAATGATGGAATTATTATTTCCCAATTGCATTGGTTTGAAACGAATCAAAACATCTGCGAAATTGGAACATGAATTTCTCTACAATTTGAAACTATTCCAAGCGGCATTCATAAAACTTAATTTCGATAAATCTGTTCCCATTGATCGCTTAATGAAGGGAAAGTTTCAAGATAATTTCGAATTTCTACAATGGTTCAAAAAGTTCTTCGATACTCATTCGGCCGGTAAGGAGAACCTGAGAGTTCCAGCTGCCATGGCGGCAGCAGCACAAAATGCTCCGAAACCTATTAAGAAGCCTGGCAATCAAACATTGGGTAGCGCCAAAACGCCTGCGGCAAAACCAGACATGCTGAAAACTCCTAAAGGTACACAACAACATGGCGAACGCCAGGTGTCACCTTCGACAATACGCACCCTGCAAGAGACACAAGAACAATTGGCCGAGCAAATACTGTCTGTTGAACATGAAAGAGATACATATTATAAGAAATTGGCCGAAATTGAAGTTATGTAAGTACCCACCAAAAAAAAAAATCAATTTAAAATACTAAAATGCATCAATAGATTGGACGAAATCTCTAGACCCATATTTGATAATAACTCAAATGAATAACATATTTTGAGAGAAGTTCTTGGTATAGTAATTATGGTGGTAAAGATCAACAAAATTGATCTATCAAATAATGTATTGTGTCCTTGAAAGCTCTATGATGCTTTCAATAAAATGAAAATTACACTTTTGCGTAGAGATACTTTACTTGCCGATAATACAAAATACCAAATTACTTATGAAATCGCCCAAAACAAGTGCCAATATATTTGTCTCATTAAAAAAGCATTGTAATTCGCAGTTATAATTATTTCGAACTTATCGACACATCCACCGAACTATTTTAGTTCGGCTTTTAAGATGTAGAAAAAGTGGTAAACGTCAGAAACTTTCCAAATTTCTAAGGGGGTTTTCCTACCAAAAACTGGTAAAACTTTTCAAATTTTCATTTTTCAAAGCGAAAATTGCCTAATATTGTGCAACTTGTAGATTCTTGCAGTTTCTGAGGAATTGGTGTACCATATAGAATACGTAGAACTTGGTTTTAGGAATATATTTGTTTTCAATATGAAATACAGGGTGAGAAAAAACTGATTTGATAGATTTGTTCGAATTGGTCACCTTTGGCACGAATTATGGCCTTCAAACGGCCAATGAAACCGTCACACGCTGCCCGAATGTTGCTCTGCGGTATTTTGGCCTATCCCGGCGAAGCGCTTGTCAAGGGAAGCGCTTTTCCAAAGCTTTAATACACCTTTCATAATATCATTAATACGAGCGGAGAGCGACCATCGACAGTTATGACACACAACCAACCGAAGATGCACATTTTCAGCTGACCTCTTTGGTAAGTAAACACGATCATTTTGTTTCTTTACAAACTGCTAGACAACTAATGTCTTCTCACCGGAGAAAACCAAATTCGGCAGTTTACTTTCGGCCAAGCGAAGCAACTCTTTAGCTCTTTTGAATCAATTTTCTTTTTGTTGTGGTGTAAGTTCTTGCACTTTTTGGAATTTTAATGGCTTTACCCCGATCTTATTTTTCAATATTTGCCGAATGGAATATTGCGATATGTTCACTGCGACGCTGGTTTCGACCAAGTCGCTTCTTTACTTTTCGAACCATTTCTGCTGATGTTGCTGTTTTCTTCGGTCCACTTCCTTGACGTCGGTCTACGCTACCGGTATCACGGTAACGAGCCATGGCACGAGACACAAAAGATTTATTCACATTTAAACGCTGGAGTGGTCTAACTAACGATATCCACTTGTGGTTTTCCAATTTAAAAACATCACACTATCACGCTTGAATTCAATCACGAATAACTTTTTTCCTATAAAATTCTCATCAAAATGCTTACGTACGTTTGTAAACAATATAATGAGCTGTGATTGGAATAATTTTAACAGCTGTCGGACGAGTGGTTTAGAAATGACAGGAGTTTGAAATTGGTTGCAGTTTTTTAATCTCACCCGGTATTAAGTCATGTTAGTAAGTGGTGACCATTTTCCGCGTCTTCTAACTCTAATTGAATTATATGTTTTACTGTTTAAATATATTTTAATACCAGTCACATTAACTTTTCTTTAAATTAAAATTAAATTTTGGCCGCCTAAAACTATACTCCCTATTTTATTTTGTTTAGTTAATATAAAGATGGCGCTTGTTATAGTCAAGACAACAGAGCAAGATCATTTGCTGAAGCTTTCGTAACCAGTACAAATCTCCAATCAAATATGCCTATGACTTTTTTTGCTACTGTATTTTTGAAGCTTCACTTTAATATTTTTTCATGATTTGCTCTTAATTTGGCATGTATGACTACAATGGATGCATACGAGTTGATTTTAAAAAAACAAATCAGATTTGTGCAGTCGAAGTATTATGTATTTATACTTCACGTCCTTCCTGGAATTCTAATTGCATTAACTGTGCCATTGAAGCACATCATTCATTGTTTTATAATTTTGAATTTTTAATGTATTACTTTTTCTCTTTTTTCCTAGCCTCAATGAGTCAGTGCAGAATAATATCTTCGTTGAGTGGTGTAATCGTGCTTTGACCATACTCTATGCTACAGATGACACTCCCCCAGGCCCTGTTGATGATCTTGCACAAGAAATGATGCCAGCATTATCATTAGAAACTGATATATGAAATATTTCTAATATATTTTTGTTCACTTTTCATAATTGGTATTAATAAATGTTATGTTAATAAAATATAAAATTAAGAATATACAATAGATACAGCTCTTTATTCACCATCATTATCTGAATGTTGGGATGGAGACGGCGATGATGAATTTGAACTGGCATAATCACAAACTAAGGCTAAACTTTTGGGTAAATCTACTAATACAGGAACTGTTTGGTGTTGAGAAATGTTTTCATCATCTCTGGACTTGTCCTTGGTATTTTCGTTTTCATTACGAACCTCACTTGGGTTTGATACCTTTTTAGCCTCAACAAACTCCTCACTTGTATTTGCTTCAGTTTCAGCTGTGTTTAATTTTCTTTTTATACCCAATTGCTCATATTGCAGTTGTGAATTTAAAGCTTTTTGTCTCTTCAAACCACCGAATGTAGTCTGTGTGGCACTAGGTAAGGCAGGTTTCATTAGGATATCTAGACGTCTTTCTTCTTCGCGTTCATGGGCAGATTTACTTTGCAGTTTCATTAAAGAAGCCATTTGACGATCTTGTTGCGTTTCGGGTAGTAAATCAATGTCCAAGCTACTTTTTGCCAGTAATTTATCATCAATTTCCTTGAGGGCCTTGAGTTCTTTTTTCTTGCTCTGCAATTAAAATGAATAATTGGTCAATTTACTTAAATTCAGTATTTTTTGGGTCCGTTTAAGTATGTTGAATCGAATGCGAAAGCAAATAAAAAAATGGAAAATGCACACAGTTGTTGCAATGATTGTTTTTCTTTCTTAATACCTTTGAATGGTCTTACAGAAACAGGCACTTAGTGACGTTGTATACATACCCTAAATTCTGATCTTAATTTGCAATTTGCCTCATAGCAATCATTCCAAAGTGTTTTATTTCGATCTATCAATTTCTCCAATATTGGCTTTGCCTTTTCACCGGCAACTATATCCTTAGCCTGATGTTCCAGTTTGTACATCGCATCATCAAACAAACGCTTTTGTACCTCCTTGGTCTCTGGTACAACTTGTTCGTTCTGTGTTGGATCCCATCGATTTTCTTGCCTTCGGGCTCCAGACAATATCACATAATCCAGATTACCTGGATCCGTTTGTATTTCAAAGTGATTATCACATAAATGACACTTCATGCGAAATTTGTAGATTGGCGTGGAATAGTACATGCCCACTTTGGTCTTTTCAGCATTATATCGCACTCCCATTCCAATGTGATTTTTACAACCATCGCACCAAATATTATAGGGCATCTCAAACCGTATAATAATTATGCCCAGGTGAATTTTCCGGGCTCTTTCACGAAGGGCATGTGTGCCTTGGAATTTATTAAGACCTCCCTTTCGTGGATCATAATCCGGTGGGTAATATTTATTCTGTCCCTTGCGTTCACCCATCTTTGCAAATCTTAATCGACTTCGTTAATGTAGGATTTCCTAGTTTAGTTATTACTGCGATTAGCTGAAATAATTAGAGAATAAGATGAAAATTTCATCTGTTTAGGTATACGTTTTGTGTTGTTTCCATACCAGAAATAGGGTTTATTATTCCTTTTCGTACAAATTGGCAACTGGGAGATTAGATCCCATACTTGTACAGCTCTCCCAAATGTTGTCTATTACCTCCCTTTCTATTTGTATTCAACTAAAGATTTGTCGTAGCTCCAAGGCCTTGATTTACCAGGAGTGGTTCGATAGTTCAAGAAACGTTTGGAAAACAAACTTTGACACAATAGGGCTATTCACTAAAAGGAGCAACGAACAAGACGTCTGTGATCCAACGCAAATGTAAACAAACTATCAGCTGTATATCTAAAAGAGCTGCCAACCCTTTTAATGTATGATTTTATTTGTAGTTTATTCATAAGGCACACTCCACTTATCCCATGGTACAATAAAAAGGTATGGTGAAAAAACCAGATGATTACAAAACTTTTCTGGTTGTGCCCGGCTTCTGCTATTTTTTGTGGTTGGGAAAATAAAACCAAAGAATTTTGAAAATCAATATTTAAAAGAAACAAAAAGTGCGAGAGCCGCATTAAAGATAATAACTAGCTTTGAAATTGAATTTAATTATAGAATTATTTAGATCCAATTTTATAAAGAAAATGCCGGAATATCATTTTTCTATCGCTATTTTTAACACAGTTTGAAATGTCGAAAAAATTAAATAATTGAAACAAAACGATGCTATTTTATCTACTTATATTACTGTGACCGCCGACCGCATTTATACTCTTTGTGATTTATTTCTCTAAACTAGCCCAACTTTGCGACATAAAACATACAAACAGTAGTGATGCAAGAAAACGTTGCTATATGCCATAACATACTAAAGAAATGTTTCTTATGAAATTTTCTTATAAAAAATCGCATTTTGCTTTTTACATTTTTCCTTCTGATAATGTACCCATTGTAGAGTTAAGAAAGTAAACTCATGTCAAATAACCATATCCGTCTCAACATTTTCTGCAAGTTAGCTTGTCTTTGATTTGTGCATTTACAATGGATGTTTTAATGTAATTTTAGTATAATTTTAAAAAAGCTGTAAACATAGGATTGCACCGGTTTACCTTCTTAATTGTACTATGATTGTAGAATGGAACAAAGGTTTCTCAACTTCAAAGAAACTAGAAAAATGCAAATCTGTGCTGGAGTCTATGTGTCAAACAAACTTTTAAATATACAACAGTTTGCTTTGTTAATTTTTAATTTTTTTAACAAAATTTTTATTTTTGGAAAAGCCCGCGAAACAAGAATGGAATTTCGGTGTTATTCCACAAGATGGAATCTTGTCCTACTAGGACAATACATTTCTATCACAAAATTGTACAATTTCTTACCCATTTCGTAGAAAATTTGTATTTATTTTGCAACCAAATTTGAAATTATTGTATTTTTTATTCAAAACAATACACACACATACACAAAATGTGTATACGTTTTGACAGAATAAGGGCACAAAAAGAAAAAAATTGCATTAGGGTAGCTTGGTTCATGGAACAATAAGGAGGTAGAACAGCTTCGTAAAACTACAGAAATACAGCCCTGAGGCTATGCCCGATTTCTTTCAGATTCATTCAAAATTTTACGAAACAAGTAGTTTTCATTTTTTTCATACTTTCCCTCATTTATTAATGAGTCAAATAGCGCCAAAAATGAATGAAATGTCCGAATTTTATCCCAAAAAAATTATTCAAACTGTTCAATATTTTAATTTAATTTCTACACTGGTTAATAGCTTTAATGCGCGAGCCCCAATGTACGTGTCTTCCAATCATTGGTTTTGGATTTTTTTTCATTTTTAAAACAATAAATACATTTACAAAATTAGCAGAAGTCGGGCACACACAGAAAAAAATCGTAAAAAGCTGATAGCTCTACCCATGGTACAATGATATCAAGGTAGGGCTATGATACCATATGATTTTAATTTTTTTATTTTCTTGGCCTAATATGTCATCTTTTTTGTTTATGTATGTGTTTTTTTTTTTTAATAACAAAAAAATTGTTCAGAAAACATTCAAATTCGGGTGTTTTCAAAATGTTCATTTCAAAGCATGCATCGACAAAATCTAGAGTTTTTGTAGCGAAATCATCCTTTAGAGATATATAATACATGATTTTGAAAAGAAGTGTTGACCTTTCATTCAGTTATTGCGGTTTTCAATTATTTATTCAAAATAAATGCAACAAGTTATTTGATTTTTTATTGTTTTGATACTAATTCTGACATTACAAGCCAAACAGGTAGACCTCTATACTTGCAATTTTTCAAAGTTGACCTACCTTCTCTTCATTGTACCATGGCTCTACCCATGGTACAATGAATTTAAGGTAGGGCAGAACTACCATATGATTTTAATTTTTTTTTTTTTCTGGCTTAATATGTCAACTTCATTTGTTTATGTATGTGTATTCTTTTCAATAATAAAAAAATTTTCAGAAAATATTCAAATTCGGGTGTTTTCAAAATGCTTATTGCGACTTATGCATCGACAAAATCTACAGTTTTTGACACGAAATAAACCATAAGAGATATATAGAACACGATTTTGAAAAGAAATTTTGACCTTTCATTCAGTTTTCGCGGTTTTAAATTATTTATTCAAAATCAATGCAACAAGTTGCTTGCTTTTTTTATTGTTTTGATAGTAATTCTGACATTACAAGCCAAACAGGTAGACCTCTATACTTGCAATTTTTTCAAAGTTAGCCTACCTTGTATTCATTGTACCATGGCTCTACCTACCTTTTTATTGCACCATGGTTCTACCTTCTGTAATTATGCCATGCATTTAACAACATTTCATTGTCAACATTTTATTCATAAATCCATTGTATATAGACAAATCAGAGGTGGAAACTGTTTTCAGTGATGTTATATATGATACCGTAAATTACAGAAAATTGCAGAGCTGCATATTATTATTTACCTACCGTGATTTAATTGTACCATGGCTTTACCTTTGCACTAGATGACATTTTTTCAAGTGATCGTATTATCATTGGTACAATTCTTAAATGTAAAATCAAGTGTTGTTTTAAAATAATTTATCGTAATAAATCAAATCTGAATAAAAACAATAAAGAAGGTATTTTTGAATAGTTAATTGTCCTGGTAAAAGGCTTTAATGTAAACGTTGCCCAACAGTTAATCTGTTTCAAAACCTGGAAGAATCTGCTAGTTTTGGAATATTTTTCGATATCAAAAAGGAAAATTCGGTTATCGTAGTAAAAACTTTTATATTCTTGCAGTTCTGGAACAGACTATTACTGTTATGGCACACTTGTATCTAATTTTTATTGTAGAATAAATATAAATCTCAATGGCATAACAGAATGGACGTGCTACATGTTTTTCGTATCGCAAGGCATCCATTTTCATATTGTAAATTATTAAAGGGCTTAACAGACAGGGCACAAAGGGCCATTTAATGTATTATTGTAGGTAAAAGAACAACAGGGAGACCGATTTTCGTCACAAAACGTCTCCTTGTGGTCTTTGCTTTAAGGCATTATCAGACTGAATGGGTTTTCATTATGTGCTGTTATTTTTATTATCCACGTGTATTTCCTTGTGTATGTCAAAATTCCTATGTTATATATAACTCATAATTTTTGCTATCACGCAGTTACACATGTTTTTTATTTCGATTGATTGCATTGTTATTATATTGTAATTTTCAAGAATTTATAATCTTTATTGATGTATTTCCCCAAATTTAATTTTATATACTTTCAGACAACAAATATTGTAGAATCAAGAAGGAAAAATCATGAAATCAGAAACGGTGTTTGCCTTTTCTGTAAGTTACCTTGTTAAATTTCACTGCTTAGAAAATAGGTTCCCATCTCTGATTTGTGTATGTACAATGGATTTATAAATGTACATTTTGACAATGAGATGTTATCAAAATAATAATGTAAAAAAAATTGTAAACATCGGCAATCACTTTACCTTCTACCACGATTGTACCACGCTTGCAATGACGGCAGAAGAATTCATGTAGATGCATCAGCGCTTGGGTACATTGAAATATCAAAAGTTTTAAAATGTTTTGTTATTTTTCTTTTGCAATAATAAGTGGATTTTTATATGTTTTGTTATACGACGCCAATCTGAAGCTGTTATTGTATGCATTTTTCCACATTTTTGACAAATTTGAATAATTTTTCATTCAAAATTTTCAAATATAAAATTGATTTGGCAGTTCATTGTCCCAACAGCTGTTTCGATGCGACTACCTGTATTCATCTACCATGCAGGCAATGCTTATTTTGTTGTGGTCTGTAGTTGGCCTATACTGTACATGAATTGTTATCGATTTTTCCTACTGAAAGTCGATTATTTGAATGTCAAATATATTCTTGGTGAGATTTGTCTAATTGGCAGAAGAAAATATTTGTGCTGCGAATTTTCAACCCTTTTTGCCACGTTATTTGCTGAATTAAACCTCAGAATTTAATTTATTTTGGTCTTTGAATAATAATTTCAATATGAAAATCTACACAAATGAAGGGAATCCCTTTGGACTTAAACTGCAACTTTTGGCCAAGTTCGCAAAACGTGAGGTGGTTGTGGAAAAAGTTAACCTAAATGGTAAGTATAGGAAAGGGGGCATTTTACATTCGATGCAGGGGGGAGTGTTTACATTTTTTTAATTAAGGCAAAAATACCGCGGTGAAATAATAGAATTCCCAGGAATTTTTTCTTAATAAAATTATGAAATGTCTCTTTATTATTGCAGATGCAAACGGCAAGGATTTTCTTTTGTTGCCAACATATGAACTGGAAAATGGTATCAAGTTGTTTTCCACAGATGCTGTAGCAAAATATCTCTTTCCTGAAGAAGGATTGCAGAGGGATGAGGTTTGTCAAATAAAATCGGTTTATAGATGGAAAATATTTCATTGCTATGCCTATTGACCTTGTCAAGGTTACACTAATTGACACCTATCTTTGTTTTGCAGTGGTTGGAGTGGTCCACTACATTGCTGGCACCTGCATTAGTTCACAAAATGGGTGTGGGCCACCGTGCAAATCCAAATGCCTCGCCCGTCCTCAATGCTTTAGTAAAGAAACTAGAAGACACTTTATCTAAAACACCATTTTTAATAGGTGATAAATTGTCAGCTGCCGATATCTCTGTGTGGTCTTTATTGGCCCCTGATGGTACCCTAAAAGGTGCTCAACAGATTGATAATCTTCTGGTGTGGTATAGGAAAATTTGTGCCATGCCAGAAGTGCAAGCAGTACTGGCAACAGAACCATTGAAAGATTTGACATTCAATGCTTTGCAAAACTCGAATCGTTTTGGCGGCCTTTACCATGTTCCTTTGAAAGTATCTGCTTCATCAGCTGATGCCGGTAAATTCTTGGCCGATGCTGGTTCTAATATAGCTGATACTCTAACGGAGGAGGAAATAACATCGGCACGAAATAACTTTGTTTACAAGAAACCTGCTGAACGCCAAGAGCCTCGTACAGTTCTGCCAAAGGCTGGTGAACGCAATGTCTTGATCACATCTGCCCTACCTTATGTTAATAATGTACCGCATTTGGGCAACATAATTGGCTGTGTGCTATCTGCGGATATATTTGCAAGGTAATACACACAATTATTTATGATTTATCTATGATCGTATAACTAAAATCTTCGTCAAAACTTTTTATTTTCACGTCTAGATATTCGCGTTCAGTGGGCTATAATACTCTATTGATTTGTGGCACAGATGAGTATGGCACCGCCACCGAAAACAAAGCCTTAGCCGAAGGATTAACTCCCAGGGAAATTTGTGATAAATACTTCGAATTACACAATGGTATTTACCGTTGGTTTGGCATCGGTTTCGACTACTTTGGACGTACCACAACTCAGGAACAAACAGAGTAAGTCAAAGTTCAAACCTCCAATTTAAAACTTTTTTAATTTATGTGTCTTTCTAGAATTGTCCAAGAGGCCTTCCATGATGTCTATAACAACGGTTACATTCTAACTGAAAGTGTTGAGCAATTGTTGTGCCAAAAATGCGATAGGTTTTTGGCAGATCGGTATGTAATGCATACAATTGCCCATGTGCCTAAAATTATTTACTATTTTTTATGCCATTTACAGATTTGTTGAGGGCACATGCCCCCATCCCGGTTGCGGTTATGAAGATGCCCGGGGTGATCAATGTGACAAATGTGGTAAACTCGTTAACGCCACTGAACTGATAAGACCTCGTTGTAAAGTTTGTAATACTGCCCCAGTCATACGTTCTTCAGACCAATTGTTCCTTGATTTGCCTAAAGTTGAACCACAATTGCGTGAATGGATTGAACGCGCAGAACACGGTTGGACGAACAATGCTCGAGTCATCACACGTGCTTGGCTACGTGAAGGTTTGAAACCCCGTTGCATTACTCGCGATTTGAAATGGGGTATTCCTGTACCACACAAAGGATTTGAAAATAAAGTATTCTACGTTTGGTTTGATGCACCATTCGGTTATGTCTCCATGACTAAACGTTACACCAAGGACTTCAAACAATGGTGGCAGCCCGAAAAGGGTGTTGACGTAGAACTATACCAATTCATGGCCAAGGACAATGTTCCGTTCCATTCAGTGGTCTGGCCTAGTGCTTTGTTGGCCATAAACAAGGGCAACACCATGGTGTCGCATATAATGGCAACAGAATATTTGAATTATGAAGATGGCAAGTTCAGCAAGAGCCGTGGAATTGGTGTTTTTGGTAATGATGCTCAGGTGGGTTTGAAAAGAATAAAGTCGATTCTTATGAGAGTCGCTCTTACGTTTAATGTTCACTGGAGCATTGTTAAAAATTTGGTTGCTAATTGAGATGTTATTTCAGGATACTGGTATACCTGCTGATGTATGGCGTTTCTACTTGGCTTGTGCTCGTCCCGAGGGCCAAGATTCAAGCTTTAGTTGGAATGACTTGGCGGCCCGTAATAACTCCGAACTTCTCAACAATCTGGGTAATTTTGTTAACCGTGCCCTGGTTTTCTGTGAAAAGAACTTCAACGGTACCGTGCCGGCCATGACTCTCACCAATGACGAGGAGGTTCTCTTGGCTCTCATCAACCGTGAAATACGTGGATACATTAGTTCGGTGGAGAAGGCTCGTTTGCGCGACGGTATTCGTCACTTGTTATCCATATCAAGACATGGCAATGGCTATTTGCAAAGTCAGCAACCTTGGGTGCTGCTCAAGGGAAGTGAAGAACAAAAGGCCAGAGCAGCAACAATTATTGGTATTTGCGTAAACATCGCCTGCTGGTTAGCCAACTTGATATTCCCTTACATGCCTTCCACTGCACGCACTATGTTTGAACAATTAAACACAAAACAGATATTACTGAATGCAGAGTAAGTTCATTCGCCATTTTTAATAACTCTTAAACTAAATCTTTGTTTAATATTTATAATTGCAGAAAACCATACGTCTCTATTTTGTTGCAAACTGGACACAAGATTGGTAAACCAGCCCCTCTGTTTGCCAAGTTAGAACAACAGTTCATTGATGAAATGAAAAAGAAGTATTCTGGACCCCAAGTTACTACATCGTCAGGATCTGGCCTATCTGTTGCTGATTTGGAGAAGGCTGTTCAAGAACAAGGAGAAAAACTAAGACAGCTAAAATCAACAACAAAAGACAAGGCAGTATTGCAGCCAGAGATCGATAAGCTATTAGATTTAAAGAAACAACTATCTGAGGCACAAGCTGCTGGTGAGAACAAGCAGAATGGTACCTCATCAGTCAAAGATTTGGAAGCAGCTGTTCAGGCGCAGGGTGAAAAAGTGAGGCAATTGAAGGCACAAACTAAAGACAAGTCCGTATGGCAGCCAGAAGTCAACAAACTTTTGGATTTAAAGAAACAATTGGCTGCTGCACAATCTGGAACTTCCACTCCCGCCACAACGAATCCTGCTCCAGCATCTGATGCAAATCAAGTCAAAGAACTTGAGGATAAAATAGCCAAACAGGTACAGTTTTAAGAATATTTTTGATCAAAGCTTTATATATATTATTCAATAACTTGCATTTTATATAAATAGGGTGAAAAGGTACGCACATTGAAGGCGGCTGGTGATGCATCAGTATGGAAACCAGAAGTGGAGATTCTATTGGCTCTCAAAAAACAATTGTCCGCTTTGACTGGGGCTCCAGATGCAAATGCTCAAGGCAAAAACAAGAAAAAGAAATAGAAGCATTTCATATAAAGTCAGCATTTTGTGCTTTTTTACATAAAGTCGATGGTGTTCTTTTTATATTTCACTCATTTTCACAATAAGTCATAATCGTATTGCGTGAGGAAAGCAGAATTAAAGACTTATTTTTTGCGTATGATTCTTAACATTACATTTGTATTCGTTGTTACAAATATTTAGTAATTTATTTATGTCTTTGTCTAAGAAAATCATTAAAATATAGACGAGTATCCCTTTTATACATTGTAACGATATTAATGATTCTTTATATTTATTTCACATCTTTCAAGTTATTTGAACCGCTCAATAAAAATTTCCAATTTATAACGAAAGTTTGTGTTGTTTACGACAGAGTGGGGGATGGGAATTGTATCCTCACACTAAATGAAACGATTGCAAAAAAAAAAAAAAAAAAAAAAAAAATACGAGGACAACGGCGAGGCGTATCACGGGCAGAACTTGGGTTGCGGACAAAGAGATTTTTTGGCCTCTTATAACATCATATCCACATACTTTTGTTGCAGTGCCTGTTTGGGTGGGAGCCAACTAAACCATCAATGGTGGATAAACTCCCCGTGGGCGTGTCAGGTCTAAGTGGCATTTACAGATCCCATCAGCAATTAAAGTATGAATGCCGTTCATGGAGTCCACCCCGCATCTGGAGTCCACCCCGCATCTCAATTCGTATTGGGCACAAATTATGTGGTACTCTTTAATGGCCCTACAAAACCTACCCACTCAATCCAGAAGGTCTTTGTTTACAACCCGTGGAGGTAGCCGAATTGTTGACACTGCAGTTAGCAGAAATCAAACAAATATGTGTAGCTGTTGGAACAACAACAAGTGTGACTCCCTGTGAAAAGGTTAAGAACGTAAAGACAATTTGTATTTGCTGTCTAAAATATGTCAACATTTTTATTGAATTTCATGAATATGATTTATTTTACGTAATTAAAAATCAGTATCCAGGATCTGCGGTAGTTGTTGTTGTTGTTGTTGGTAGTTTACCATCTCTTCCGCCAAATATGTTCCCGACGCCAAAATCATTGCCAGATCCAAAATCAAAGAGAACTGGTAAACGTTTGGGGAAATGATGACTCTCACTAGGACGTTCATTTTCATATCGGCTTCCAAACGGACCAGGACGTGATCCTTGTGCTGGCCTATTTCTCAACTCTTCAAATAATCCTTGAACTCTATGTCCTGGTCCTCCAAAAGGTCCAGGTTCTCCATGTTCTGGTCTGAAAGGACGACCAGGTGGTCCGGGAATCCTATTTCCTAGAGGACCATGTGGTCCTTGATGTTCCGGAGGACCATGTGGTCTATGATGCTCGGGAGGACCATGCGGTCTGTGGTGTCCAGGAGGTCCAGGTGGTCCTGGCCTTTTAGATGGTGGTGGAGGTGGTGGTGGGGGAGATGACGTTTCTCCATCATCTTCTGTGGGATCAACAGTAGTTGTTTCAGCACCTTCTTCCTGCAAATATATGTATTTCTTAGATTTTCACATTCAAGGGTTGAGATACCATTCCAGTTTTACTTACTTGGGCTTGACCCACAGCCAAAAGGGCTAACACCCCTATGACTACAAAAAGTTTCATTTCGATAGTGTTAAAAAAATACAGTTTTCTGCTGTATTTATATGGATATTTTACCAGTCCTATTTTGTTGAATGTCATTTTGTGTTGTGTATGGATTTGTAACATGGATATAATGTCGATGGTAACAAAATTCAATGATGTGGAGAGAATTAGTAAAATAATTGAAGTCCTTTTGTATGCTTAAAGAAAAATACTTATAAGTAGTATGTCCTGCTTGGCTACATTTCTGGTAAAAGAATAAAGGAAAAATACAGCAGAATTCAAATGTATGTAAATCTTAGCTTTATTCTTATATTTTTTAGTTCTTCTCATTTCGAAGCCACAATAGGATTTCGTTTGTGATTAGAGTTGGCATTATAATCAAGAAGACTCTAGATATAACATTTATATAAAAAATAACCCTTGTGATTTTAAGGAAAGCAAGCCAATTATTATTTTTTTATAAATACCAGTGCCGGTATAGGGTATTAAACCGTCGGTCACGATTGCCAATGAAAATTAGTCTTTAGTTTCTTTTGGTATTAATTAATTTTACTTTAACTGACGCATTCTACATAAGTTAGTCACAAGATAATTGTGTAATTATGATTGCAATTGTATAAATATTTGTGCATATCTTCGATCGGTTGATTAATCTTTGGCTTTCCATACCATAATTACTGTAATTATCTTACGCAAATTACATTAATTGACCAACAATTAAAAACGGCCAGTACAATAACATTTTCATTAAAGAAAATACTCAGTAGTACAGGGTGAGATGAAAAAACTGCAACCAACTTGAGACCGCTGTCATTTCTAAGCCACTCGTCCGACAGCTGTTAAAATGATTCCAGTGATAGCTCATTATATTATTTACAAGCATACAAAGGCATTTTGGTGAGAATTTTCCAAAAAAAAAAGTTATTCGTGATGGAATTCAAGCGTGGTAGTGTGATTTCCTTATATAAGTGGCTATCGTTAGAGCACTCCAGCATTTAGATGTCTTTTGTGTTTCGTATCATCGCTCGTTACCGTGATACTGGTAGCGTAGCCCGACGTCAAAGAAGTGGCCGGAAGAAAACAGCAACATCAGCAGAAATGGTTCGAAAAGTAAAGATAGTGGTGAACTGCCGAATTTGGTTTTCTCCGATGAGAAAACATTCGTTGTCCAGCAGTTTACAAACAAACAAAATGATCGTGTTTACTGAAAATGTGCCAATTGGGTTGGCCACCAGCACTCAAGCGCCGGCCATGGTGATGGTGTGGGCCACCATAACAGCCGATGATCGTTCTCCGCTCGTATTAATCGACCGTGGCATCAGAATATTATCGCGAACATATTCGGAAGGGTGTATCAAAGCTTTGGGCAGGCAAACATTTTGGCACAGACCTTGGACATTTCAACATTCCTTTGCTTACTTGTTTGCTGTTAGTTTAATACATGATATCGGCCGAAAATATATATGGGAGCTATATCCATATGTAAACCGATTTCAATATAATTTGGCATATTTATTTTTGTTCCAAATTCCGTTACACATTCTAAATTTGAAGACTGTATCGGTAATCGACCAATAGATATTTGCATATAAAATCAAAATTTTTGAAGGTACCTCCGATACTGATGCCATACCTCCAGTTCCAAGTGGAATTTCAAAAATGTATATAGCCTATGTTACTTTCAGGCGATGTTGTATTATTTTCAGGAAAATCTGTTCAGCGGTTTTCGAGACCATAAATTACAACCAAACATACAAACATATTCCTCTTTTATAGATATAGATATCCCGCCACCGGAGCTAGAACCCATTATGAACTATAAATACCATTTTATAGACAAATCTTTGAAAAAAGTGGCGAAAATCATCAATACGCCAATATCGGTAGGCACCGTTATATGGCGGCTATATCAAAACGTGGACGTGAACGTAGACACAATACAAACTATTGTGCTAAATTTTAAAGCTATACAACAGACGGACATTGTTAGAAAGTTGGTACAAAATTGAAGATGGATTATTTTGCACCACTTTTATGTATTGATAATATTTTTTTTGCATGTTCCCCCCGAAAAGATTTATTTTAATTGGGCGGTTCAAGTTTTACGGGAGTATTAACTGATGTATGCATGTCAGTCCGTTGTCCGTGTGTCTATGCATTTCTGTAAACAAAATGCAGGTCGCTTTTATTATTATTTTATATATTTATTTGCCCAAGGTCGAACCCTATTGAAATTGGTGATATTCGGTTCAAATAGATATATAGATATAGCTCACATAAATACCTCTGCATAATTTTATGAAGATCAGTTCAGATTTGGATGTAGTTATACATATCTTCAACCGATTTCGGGTTAATTGTGCACCAAATGACCAATATCAATTCAAATGACTCTAGAAGCAAGTAAATCAAAGTTGGAGAAAATAGGTTCAGATATAGTTACAGCTCCCATATATATGTTTCATCCGATTTGGTTGTTAAGTCCCTCACATTCTTAATATGCACTCCACAAGGATGATTGGTACCAGAAATCAAATACAGCCCAGAAATAACCCTGACAACTTTTGTCAAGATCGGTTCAGATTTGGAAATATCTCCCATGTATATGTTTCATCCGATTTGGTCTTTAGGCCGCTTGCATTCGTAATATACACCCCACAAAAATGATATCTGGTTCTATTGATTAAATAAATATCAGAAATACCTCTGCCTACTTCTATCACGATCGGTTCAGATTTGGATAAAGCTCCCATATACTATATCTTCATTTCGGGTTAATTGTGCACCAAATGATCAATATCAATCCAAATGACCTGAATTTCGGCACATCCGATCGAATTCAGTCTAGATGCAAGTACATCAGAAAATCGGTTCAAATATAGCTATAGCTCCCATACATTTGTTTCATTCGATTTGTACTTTAAGTCCCTCACATTCGTAATATGTACTCCACAACAATGATATTTGGTACCAGATATCTTGTAGAGCTCGAAAATACCGTTGCCAAATTTTTATTGAAATCATCTCAGATTTAGATATAGCTCCCATATAAATCCTTAATCCGATTTCAGGTTTATTGTGCAAATAATGGCTAATTTCAGCGAAAATGGAATAAATTTGGTGGAACTCGGCTCCAATATATATTTATACCCTACACCATATAATGGTAAGACATAATCTTTGTGCGTTTGTTTGTAACATGGAGAAGGAAACGAGACAGACCCATAGTTCCTTTTGGTGATCAGCATAGAATCACATTTTGTCCGTACGTCCGTCTGTCCATGTATTTTTGTAAACAAAATGCAGGTCGCATTTATTATTCGATTGAGATAACATTTTCTAAATAACATGTGTTTGCCTCAAGGACGAACCCTATTAAAATTGGTGAAAATCGGTCCATATTAAATATAGCTCCCATATACATTTTAATTCCATTTTAGGTTTCTTGTGCACCAAATGGCTAATATCAGTCCAATTGGTATGAGTTTCGCTACATCCGTCCAAGTTCAGCCTACAAGCATGTACTTCAAATTTGGTGAAAATCGGTTCAGATATAGCTCCCATATATATGTTTCATCCGATTTTGGTGTTTAAGTCCCTTACATTCGTTAAATGCACTCCACAAGACTGATATTTAACACCAGATATCAGATACAGCCTAGCAATTCATAGATCAAATTTTATCAAATTCGGTTCAGACTTGGATATAGCTTCCCTACATATCTTCGTCCGATTCTAGCTATCTTGTGCACCAGATGGCTAATTTCAGCCCAAAGTGAGTGAAAAGTTGCATTACCGAGCGACTTCATTCTAGAAGTTAACATTTAAAACTTGGTGAAAATCGGTTCAGATATAGCTCTAACACCTTGTATATGTTTCATCCGATTTGGTGTTTAAATCTCCAACTTTCGGAATATGCACTCTACCATAATCATATTTTGTACCAAATATCTCATAGAGCTCAAATACCCCATATAAGCCTTTCTTTTACTAAATATGCATACTACTAAATATGCATAGTGGTGTGGGGTATCATATAATCGGCCTTGCCCGACTTTTAAGCTTTCCTTACTGGTTTTTTAATATAATCCTTCTTGAAGTGATATCATTCACTCTATAGCAATGTAATGTGGTATTAAATATAAAAATGTCTTTGTCAAATTTGGTGAAAATCAATTCAGAATTGGATATGCTTCCCATATATTAGCTCCCTCTCAAACCAAATTATAACTGCTCTAAAGCCAAAGATTGTTAGGTGGTATGATCTACTTCAAATAAATTCCCAATATAAATTCTTTTGTTACGGGAGCTCTACTAAATATGCATAGTGGTGTAGGATATCATATAGTCGGCTCCGGCTCCTTACTGGTTTTTTGTTGCATCGACGAATAATTTTAAGTTTATCTAGTGCGTCCGTCTGTCTCAGTTTCTAAGCCCTCTGAGGGAATTTCAAAGTTGGTACAAAATTGAAAATGGATAAACTTCCACCACGTTTATGTATTGCTATGTATTGGTAAGAAAAACTTTTGCCAATGTATGCCACCCATTTATATAAAGGATTTGATAAGTTCTTGATACATTTTTTACAAGATTTACTTTTATTGGACGGTTCAAGTCTTCAAAGGATATGAACCCTATCTGCAGCAATGTTCGTAGTACATAATTTAGAGTGGCGCCATATAGCAATACATTGAAGGCACAACCAGCAAGGTAATACAATATCGAAGGAAATAAGAAGTTAAAACCATTCAACGCCCTACTTCATTAGGTAAAATTGATTTTAATAAAAGTATCTGGACTCAAACGTGTTTCAATATAATTGCTAATTTCAGAGAGATCGAAATATCAGTGAACCGAATTCAAAACACTGTGGAAAAATTTGACTAGGATCATTAAAACATTGGTGGACCAATTTGGACAATGTTTTGACACCGGTGTAGATCCCATTGTGAACTACAAAGACCGCATTTAATACAACCCCGATAGAAAATTTGGACTAAAATTGTAAAAATACTGAATATCTGCAGCTACCCTTATATAACGATAAGGGCTATTGGGGGGCCGTACCAAAATGTGAACCAATATATATTATTTTCAATACCAACCATCCTAGAC